GCGAGCTACAGTCAAGATGCAGGTTGACCCCCGGAAAAACCGCTATTAAAAAGGGGAGGAGTGTTGGGGATGATAGATCCCCAAACTCATATTTTTAAATTTTATCTTATCGATCAACTTATTGATTAAATGTTTAAACATTTGTATTGGGGTCAATTGATGAACTGATCGATTAAATGTTTGTATAGCAGTCAGTTTATGAACCTATCAATTAGATGTGCAAATAGGTCAATTGATGAACTATCGATTAAATGTGTTTAAAATTTTCCTATGACAATATCGATTGTAAATATTGTATAAATACGCGTGAGTTGTGTGTTTGACTTGACTTATTATCTGCTGTGTGTCTGCAGAATACACTTCTACACCTTACCCAGACTTCTTCATCGAGTTAGCAGAGTTGGGGACAACGAACCAGAATAGCTATCGAGTCGCTGAGTCACTGATCCTTCGTTCGTTGAGTAAGACGCATCAGTAATAGCATTCAAGCGAATAACAAATCATAACAATTTGATAACTTTGTAATCTAGTAATTTTCCATAAATTTCAAGGCGCTCTCGATTATATGTATGTACAACTACCGTATCAACCATTTAAATTACTGAACTCATCGCTTATGAGAAAGAGGTACTATCCAACGTTTGTTTTTGTTAAGGGAAGCTTTTTGTACAAGATGACGTTTGCGATATTTTTGGAACAGGTTGACGCTGTTGTATACAAGTTTAGTGTGGTGTTTGAATGAACTAATGATACCTTTGTACTTGTTGAATGCTCGATTTCGAATACCAAATACAATACATTCGTTTATACTTGTATCTTAGTTCTTGATTCAGTTGCGTTATTTCGGGGATTCTTAGTTAGTACTATAATTCAAATACTTTTCAGATATACTGGCGTCGCGATGGAGCCTGTGATGGAAAAGTTAGATATTCATTTAACTTTTGAGGATTATTTTGAAAGGTTCGAAATCTGGGTTATGATCAAGGAAGATGCTGAGGATGTTGATATTGTGGCACGTTTCCTTACATTCATCGGAAAAGAAGCATATAGTTTATTAAGAACACTGGCTATGCCGGAAATGCCTGTCTCGCTTTCTAATACAACTCTTAAGGAACTACTGCTAGACTATGTTAATTATACAAATTTCGGATGCAGTAAAGAAGAAAGATCTCGTAAAATGATTTATGAGGATATGAAAAATTCCACTACATTAATACGTCATCCCAACCCAGTGCATACTCGAGGCTATGCAGATAACAATTCATTGAGTAGTTACGATGCAGTCCACGAAAATGGGCAGAAGTTTGATCAATGCTTGTTCTGTGGTGTAGTGTTCGAATTAACTAATGATTCTTCTGTACTTGTTGATTGCTCGATTTCGAATTCCAAATACAATACATTCGTTTGTGCTTGTCTCGTAGTTATTTATTCAATTGCGTTAATTCTAGGACTCCTAGTTCATGCGGTAATTCAAATACTTTCAAATATATTTAGTCATTTTTATTGCTCTTTTGTAATAACCTTAGTCTCTATCGTTTTTCCATCATTTGTTACTTTTTATACGCTATACAACTGGTCATCGATTTAATTATTTCCAAATGTTGCAAGGGTGAAGATTTAAGCAGAACAATATGAATTCGTTTGGTTCTTGTCAGCTGCTCACATCCCACAGCATCTTAAATTCGACATCATGAAAGCTAACATATCTAGACTTAAATATATGCAACCGTGATGGAGTTTGGGGGTTGTAGCCATGTTTAGGTGTTCAACTTTCATTTGTTAAACCAAGATAAGTTGTACTACTTGGTTTTTAATACAAGATTATTGCAGTAAGGCTCATAACTCCGAATTAATACTGGAAGTCGTTTCCTGAAACACCAGCAAGAATATAACTACTTAAAAGGTTTTCGAACTTCTGTTGAGTGCCTCTCTACAACAGTTATATATGTCAAGGAATACTCTTCGTCACATTAGTTTTTTGCTGTAACTTCCATTATCATAGGCTCATTCACTCAATCTTTCTTTAAATTCTGAACTTAATGATTTTTGCGTAACACTAGGTTAAAAAAATACAGCCAGAGCAAATTCGCAGCACAATGTAGTTTTTTAAATAAAAAATACATAATATGACAAACTAAATGAATACATGAACGTAAATGTGACCGTTATTCAGCTTGGGGATACATTAGGTTTACGTGACAAAGTTGAATGTAAAATCACTCTTTCAGAATTCTTCTGTTTCAAAATTTCGAACACAGTCACACCGATAAAGCATGCCTGAAAACCATTTGGATATCCCACTCAGTCAAGGTTGACAAATAAACATTTGTTCTTCACTGTGAATCTTTTCGCTCAGTAACATCTGTAAATACAATCGAGTCTTTCTCAAGTCGTATCGCTTTCAATAAAAAAACTTAAGAAGGAGAGACAAAGAACAGGGATGGAGCAGCCTTGTACCCACGATTATATATGTCTCATCAGCAAGCGTAATCATTTAAGTATCAAGTCACAATTAATGGGTTGGCTTACTTCATATCTAGATAGTGGATAAATTTCAGTCTTTCCAGGGTTACGCATGGTTCTTGTGGGGTCTCTCATGATTCAGTACTGGGACCTCTTATTCCCTTAGTTTATATAAATGACTATCTTTGGAAAGTGTCATCTGGTTTATTGCTTTTGGCTGAAAATTTGGCATTTTAGGAGGATCATGCTCGAATTCAAAGTTGAGCGAATAATAATGGACTTCCTTTTAACATTTCGGATTGCAATGCAGTCCAACTGAGATACGTTGCAGACTGGGCTCATGTTTAAAAGCATCTCAAGTTGTAAGGAATCAAGGAATTTTGGCACCGTATGATCTGAAATCTAATGCTAATTGCGACAAAAATACCTTCCGAACAAACTTTGTACTGGTGACCATGAGGCTTATTTTTGCTTAGTTCAACTGCAGGACTTTCGATTTAATCTTTAATAACCTTATTTGACCCCGTTTAGAGTATGGAAATATAGTGTTTCCTCCCTCACTCCAAGAGAGAAATAAATCACCGAAGCATACTTTAATATGAGCCATGAAATCAGTTCGTGGACTCAAATTTAAGACATTTGAAGAGAGCCTCGAATCACTGTATGCATCTCTATCTATAAGAGCATAGGTTACCTTGTATTCTAAATGCAAATCACAGCACATTCTGTACTAGTTACGAGTATTCGAGTTCTGAAATTCGATGACGTTTGGTGTGGTTTGTTGGACATTTTAGGAGTTGTTTGCTAGGAAATGAGACATATTTTTATGGAAAGGGGACAATTCTTCACTACGATTTGCTAATATTTTTCGACGTTTTAGACTGATCTAAAAGTTATTGAAGGACGTGTAGTTTTAACGGTCTTAACCACACAATCATCAAAGCTGAACATAAAATAACTGGGAAAATAGAATTTCAATATGTAACACTGACAGGAAAAAAGTGTAGTGAACGCGGGGGCATTAATAAAATCTCATGGCATTGCTCAGCTTTTCAGGCGTAGTCATTCTTATGTCACTTATTCCTTTTAATCTTACCAAATATATTGTTCTATCTATGGCTTAAAAGTGTTATTCAGAAACATTAAACGTACCATGCGACGAGTCAATGGAACTTCTGCATATGACCTTATAGATTAAGTTTTTACATCATGCCATACCTACAATACTAGGATTAAGTCCTTTACAATAATACTACTATAATACTTATAACGGAGTAGGCCACAATTGTACTACATGTATATAGCCTCTTGCTACCTCTAAAACAATAATGAAAACTATTTCTCTCCAGGTTATTTAAAAACTAGGGTAAAGTTCAACAATAGTATCACGACTAATAGCCAACCGTATATGTAGCGGCAGATAAATCTGAAAAACAAATAGTTCATTATGTCTTCGAAATTGATGCTGACTCATTAGTTTCAGTGGGAACATCTTATTTGAAGACGCTCAGCCACGCACCCGCCCCAGATAACGAGTGGATATTTGGTCTCAAGCATCACTTGGAACTGGAAGCAAGCTTAAAGTAAACGCTTCTAAACATATCGATGGCTTTTCAAATAGAACTTTGAACCCCTTCATTTCTGACTTCACATCTGACTGCGTTGATACACAATGATTATATATATTTTTACGTTTAAACGAGTTATAAATCTCTGGACCTCTGTCGTATCTTTAGACATGTAAAGAGTAAATTACTAGGATAGTCGTTGAGTGTGGACCACGGGCTAATTTTCCCACTCTTGTAAATTCATAGTTCCAGAGTACAAGTGCACACATCAACATGTTATTTTAACGATACACACACTAATTTAACGTCCTTCGGTTCCGAGTCAATGAATAGACAAATAAATATGCCTATGCGTTCAGTAAAAAATTGTTTCTGATTCATGAATAGATAGATTCTCAGACATGCCCTTCATATTCTAATGTTAAGTACAAAGACAGATAAATACTACGGAGCAGAATATCTGTTGAGCAAGATTTGGGATGAAAACTAATTGGAAAACGAATAAACGCCTTTGCAGTCATTTTCTAAACACTTTTAGGTTTCTCATAAACCTTCTATTTTTTGTTCTCACAAATATTTTATTCTATTCATCTATCCAACGTACCTACATTTAGGTGCGAATTTAATGAAAACGCCAACACGGAAGTTTTCGCCAATGATATGCCACGCCTCGAAAACAACGGCTAAAATATTATCAACAGTTCACTTCAGCGAGGTCCCATTTTGAAGCCAAAGAACAGAATGAAAATCACTAATACAACTAAGGTTGTGAAGATATATAAAACCTATACTATTTCTTGATGCATGATCCTGAACGCTTTATTGGAACTTCAACAGATGCTTTGTCAAGGAAATATGTAGAGAACTAAGTTGATTCTCCTTAATTGACATTATCGAATTACGAATAATTGGACGTCAAATTTTGTTTTAGTTCTTAGATCATAAAATTTATCAAAACTCAAAACTGTAATTTATTTACGCACACTTCAGCTATGTATTGCTTAATTCTATGCAAAGAGACTTTTGGATCAGGAAACTTGAGTACTGCTTTATACATAAGGTAATTAAGATCTTATTTCCTGCTTGCTATCTATATGGTTTAGGGAGATCTTCGAACTATATTTAGAAGCTGAATTCATAAAAATTGTTAACATCAACTGTGAAAGTTCTTTGAAAGACATAGACAACTTCAATCGATCAACTGCAAACCCTAAATTAGTGATTGCCCTTCACTTACGTCAATGCTCACATCTTGTCAGTTGTAAGTTTCTCCTGTTTTTCCAATCATGATCATAATTCGAATTACTATCTAGGCTTAAAATCTAGTAATGTACAAAGTATGACGCAATATTTAAGGTGAAAAAGTATCTTTGCATTGTGTAAAGACTCGTGAACCATGGAAGGCGTTTGCCATCGGTTCACCGTCTTCATTGTTACAATCTGTCACTTGTCTTCCTAGTACTGTATAGTATTTAGAAACAGTTTCTGTATACTTTATAAATGAATGACGCACCATGATCTATGACTCTTCTGACTAGGTGCTTGACATTATAAAAAGTTGAAAGCTATTTAGTGTACTTATGTATTCCATCTATTTAGAGTATTTTCATTCATTTGATAAAAAATTCTCAAAATATGTGGAATGTTTTTACTAGTCTCACCAATGGAAATCTTTTGAACAGTGGGACGTTTGTAAGCTGGATCTACAGAAAGTCTTACTGTCTAACAGTCATGAATAAATTATCTATCTTAAAAGATCTTTCAGGCAATTATAAGTTTGATGTGAAATAATTGGTTTCGAACTTTCATAGTCTATCTGTATGAAACTACATGTTTCTCATTTAAAGACGGAAAAAAGCAAAAGTCTTTTTGAATTCAAAATAATTATTTGGCATTTTGAAGCTGTTACTTAGATCACTTGGTAACATTCGTATCAAAATGGAAAAGACTTTTTTGTCTTAGTTTACTTGTATAATACTTTATGTATTTACAAATCCAACTTTTTTGTCACTGGTTAAATCTTCTTCTGTAGTTGGAGTCCTTGTAACATCCATCGTTTAGTCAAATAAAGCGGTACAACATACTCAGGATGGCTTAATCAGCTACTCGATATTCAGATAGCTATTTTATATTTTCTTAAACACTTTTTAGTCGTTTTAGGACATCATATAATATCCTTCAAATCATAATCATGAGTTATCCTAAATTACGATGACTTTGTGAGAGACTTCACCAAGTTCCAAAATTTTTCTGACCAAACACAGAAATCTTATTGGCATCCTTATTTCTGAGTAACAAGTCACTGTATGAAGACGATCAACCGACGAGCTTCTATATCCGAATTAATCAAATCACATACGCATTTATGTTGGATGCGTTTACACCACAAATCATTACCAGATATGACTTTAAGTTTATTCTGAGACAACGAAATTTTTGATCAAGATTGTCCTATGCATGGTAATTTTGACGGCGGAAATAAAAAATCAATAAGCCGTCAAAAATGCTTGTTAATCGTGCGTCTTAATGGGAGAGCAATTTTTGAGGGCATTTAAAGTCTAGATTATTGCTATCTTTACGTAACTAGTAGCAAATAAGTGAAACGTAGTACGCAAAAAACGTTTTTTGAGGCGGGGTAGTTGCCGAGAACTTTATCGAGTATAAAATTAATAGTCAAATTTATATTCAAATAATCCAAAAATTGTTTCTCAACCTACCTGGAGAAGCAGTTTAGAACTTGAGCACTTCCATAGATTAGACTAAAATGTCAACAAAGTCTTATATTCATTAAAAAATTGAACGAATAATACTTGATTAAATGTTATACACTGATTTTTCAACAATCTATAATATTATTGTCCAATCAAACTTGTCCATCAAACTCCAAAGGTTTAAAGTTTTTTAATATTACATTGTTTGCGTTTAATATTATACGGTAATGAAGTGATTATTGGTTCATTGAGTTTCTAAAAGTTAGTAAACCAAAGCATCGAAATTTAGAAAAGGGTCGAAATTAGTAGTGCTGTTTATTTTGCATTTGTAGACTCATCATGCATACTTCGAATAACGGGTAAAAGATTTGCCAATAAAAATCTCATTTTTACTGAAAATCTAGATTCTTTTATTTATTACTTTACATTTCTTTCATTCACTCTGGACCGGCCTATAAATGTTTTTATATCATATTCCATAAGGTTATTAGGGAACTAATAGACAACTTAGAGCGTGGAGATACGATATTTACTTATTGCTTTGATAATTTCTATGCTAAATTTTGATGGTGCTTACAAGACACGTATTTTTTGTGTGAATTTAACCTACTCATAGATCAGTTGAAAAGTTGTCCGCGAGACAAACTTAAAAAATTCCCATCCACCACTTTCTAAATACAAATTTTCTTCATCAAAACGCACTTAAGATTGCTTTGACTTACTTGGTCATTAGGTAGTGTCTTTGCATTCTCGCATCTCATTTTTCAATCTCATGAAAACTTGATTAATCACGGAGTAGTGGTCATTATCATGTTTTTCTAGTTTTTTTAGGGCTGAATAAATCTTATTGACGTTGTTGCAATGTGTTCACTAGCCTAAGTAACTTATCATGGAATGGAATATATTTATATGTTAAGTGATTAATGGACTTCGACAGAAAAGTATGCATAGATTTTAGTCAGTCATGCCTCGAATAACTTAGTGGTAACATTTCAGATTGTGAAGATGTTTGGGTCGACTTTGAGTCTGCTATTGAGCATCAGCTCCCAAAAAGTTAGAGATACTCGCTGCTGAAGACGAGTTTTAGTCGCATCGCGATTTCTATCGGTTTTATCCATAATGCATAAAATCATTTAAGCTTTCTTGCTTCAAACTGGTCAATTTGGCAAATAACCACTAAAATTATGTCAACCATGACGAACCTAAAATCTATGCAGAAAAATATGTATGTTTAAAAAGATACCGCATTTGTAAAATCTGGATTTTATACAATAGGTTTAGTTATTGGTAGCTTCTGTAGAAACCCTTAATTAAAATAAAGTTTTGAAGAAGAGCAAAAATATAAGTTGATTTTGATCTTTTCTAAACTATAATTTAGCGTTACATTTCAGGTACCATGTATAAAGTAATTGTTTTGTAATCTGACTTTGAAAAAAATGTAAAAACACCAGCAAATTATTTCGTGGTTTTGAGTGCCTCTGTAGCAAAGTTTATTATTTTGGAAAACTCATCATTGGTGTTTCTTGTTTTCAAACTTACGCTAGTTGTTGGATATTATTTGTTAGTGCTGGAAAATGGCAAATGTTTACCCTACTTGTGGTTAATTTTTACGCTGATGATGCGAGAATAATCAAAATCATTATTTATATATATTTCGTAATTTATTTACTTTTTTCATTGTTTTGAAGTGCTGGACAAAAGTATACCTGTTCTTGCAATCTGCACTGGGTCTGACATAAATATGGATAGAACTCATGCGGTATATTTGAAACTGATGTCATATTTAGTTGACCGAAGTTCGTAAGTATAGTTTCTCTGCATGCGTTATCCGTTTAACTGATTTTCCACCTTAGTGCAGTTGTTTTACTTAATCAACCAATGTTGAAGCAGTTTAAAGAAACTTGGGTAAGTAAATAAGTTGCTGTTATTTGACAGTAACACAGTTTATTAAAAAAACTAGTTCGTACAAGTTATAGAATAACCTCATCTTGACATATTAAATAAAGTTTATGTATATATTCGTAAGGAAGAAAGGTGTTGTGTTTGTTCCTAAGTGCCTTGACAACATTTCCGATTTCAGTTGTTAGTTACTTTTAGAAAAAGGTAAATTATTAAGTTTGGTATATATGGTACTATTTAATAAAAACAATTCTGATGTATAATTGGTTATTTTGTCATCCATTGTTTACATATATTAGAAGAAAGATTTTTCCAAACATTAAACCATTTATACCACAAGATCCCACAAATAAATATAGCATTGGTTTGTTACGAAGTACATTGGAGATATGATACGAAGTGATTCCATAATGATAACCCATTTTGTTTTTTCGAACAGTTGACCTGAAATTTCAAGAGTTTAGTAATTTTTATTAATCAAAAGTCAATATTTTTGGGTGCCATAAAGCCACTTATAAAATCGCCGAGCAGGTTTTTACTTGAAATGATATTTAATAAGTTTTACTTTGAAAATACAATTTCTTGAACATATTTGATATGTAGTATTCACTAACTATTTAACAGCGCAGAACCTCCATCTTAGGGAGACAATTTCTAGCAATAAAACCGAATTCCCAATCTCAGTGTATCTTACCTTAGTCCTGTTTTATTTTAAACAAAGACATTTCATGACAATTTATTTTTACGACGAGCTTCAGTAATGTGATAACCATTTAAATCCTTCGTAGATTAAAGTTCTCAGCTGGCTTCTTCTCTCTCGATTTCCTTCAGTGTGTGGTTAAAGAACTTGCACACATATCTACTTGGTAGTAACTGTGTGCTGGAGGAACTTGCTAAGATGCACATCAATTGTGAATATTTTATCCATGGTACCTGATGGTTCTGTTCCAATGAACAATTTTAGTCCCCAAAATACAACTTGCTTGGGTTGTAAATCCAAATCTAATGTTACACTTATATGATAAGCAGTTTGATTTACAATATACTTCAAGCATGTCATCCTTAATTAGTTTAGACTAATTATTAACTCGTCAGAGTTAATATAATCTTCCCAAATAATATAAAACTGAAGGAAATAACTGATATAGCTTAATTTTAATTTATCAGTATTGTAACTTACATTCTACTCGTGTTCAAAGCTTAACCAAGAATTATGTGTAAATGTAACTAAACTTCTCAACAAAATTCGATGAATCATTTGGTATCCAGCAACTAAATATTTTTAAAGTTACTATTTTTATCCTTTCAAATTCCTGGAAACATTGCATAAATATAATACAGCGTTATTCTATCCTCACCCTGATCATTTTTTTGTTTGCTCTAATATTGCCGCAATTTTTGAATGTTTGTGTTAAAATTTGATCAAATACTTGTAAATACAATTACATATTCAGCAGCTCATATGTCATAGACTTAATAAATTTTGCTAAATTCTCAATCAATTCGAAATATGAATAAATACCATATAGAACTTATCACACGTTCACAGATATGTATTTTTTTAGAATTTACATTAAAAAATCTCTATTTTTTCCTTCTTAAACAAAATGTTTAGCCTCATTATCCTGGTCAGTTGCAAGTCATACACCAAGGTAAGCATATGCATATATATATATATATATATATATATATATATATATATATATATATATATATATATATATATAAAGAGAGAGAGAACACTCAATTTTGCCTGTTGATTGCTATCATTTACTTGGCTAATGTGTTTAAAAAACTGACTTCTAACACTGAATTTACAGTATAGAGTTGTGGGGATTATTAAGTTATTGATTGAGATCATGAACCGATTGATGTTAAACCTTCACTGAAAACCTGGAAGCATTGAACGGCCGTTTCATCCTATTGTGGGACTCCTCAGCAGTGCGCTTCGTGGGAAATTTTCGGAGTTCCAGTGAGAAGCCGTGACCAGTGGAGCTAATCCGTGTCAAGTAGAGACAGGTATCTATTTCAGTACAATGGAAGATGGTAGTGCAATCTCGTGGATTGGTCGAGGCTAGACATTAGCACCGTTAAATTCCTGCTCAGTGGTTTAATAGGTTAAGCGTTCGCACGCGAGACTGAAGTCCCCGGGCTCGAATCCCGCGAGCGGTATCGTGGATGAGCGCTGCTGACGAGTTCCACAATAGGACGAAACGGCCTTCCAGTGCTTCCAGGTTTTCAATGGTGGTTTAACATAAATCGGTTCATGATCTCAATCAATAACTGATTTTATACTTTAAATTATTTTGAGCTGTCTTTTTGCGGTCATTTTGTTTTTATTTCCGCTCAACAGCCTAACTGTTATTATCACTGGTCAACATTATGTTCATTGTTAAATGAATAATAATAATAGAAAACATACTTCTTCAATCATTTTATGTTGTCACTTTTAAAGCTGACTGAGGAAACTTCATATAAGCGTTAGTTATCAATCTAATTAATATCAGAATACAACCACTGTATGTAAATTAGTTGTGTTAAATTTGATTTAGTTAGTTAGCTCATTCTCACCTCGAACCGTGAGGCTCAAATGCATACGATAAATAGGTAGATCTTAAAAACTAATGTCAATTTAAATGTAAGCGACTATTTGAATAGTGTTATTGATCAGATGTTTCCGCTATGTGAAATCATCATAAAATTACAGTGGTTTATGATTCGTTTTCATAAGCTACCTCGCATAATAATGTTGGTAATGTGAAATATCTAATTAACATCAAGCATAAAATACAATTTTGGATTATAGTAGAATATATTCCGACAGTTAAATATTTAATTGAATTTAAATAAATTGATTTTGTCAACTGAAGTTACGAATCGTGTAGTTAATTTTCACATATGAATAAAGCGGAAGTTTATGGATTTAAGAATGAAATAAACAATCAAATATACATGATCTAACATACAGCATGTGTTCATCAATTTATCGACAAGAATTATCAAGGACTTTATGACAGATGTTTACCCAAACATATTTGGATTTATCTATGGCCCCGTTACCAGTTTATATTCGTTCTTTAAGGATTTACAGATAAAAAGTTTTGTGAATTATTTAATTTTCATGTAAACAAGGAATTTTGATTTTTGACAAAGTGATATGCATAATAAACCCTACCCTGAATATCATATAGTATTTATCGTGTTAAACGAGACGAATTAATAATAACTGCAGTGTTGATGTATAATAAGTGTTGGCTCCATGATTTAAACACTGTCGATCATTGCGCTAATTTTAAAAACAGTTTTTATCATGAATATTCTTGAAAACTGATCAAGACAAGCAAAAATAGAAAGTAGTAAATAGTACTTTGTTTTTCTGTGTTTGTTTAGAATATTATCAGTATGGATTAAAACGTGATATACCATAGAAAAATTTCTCTTTTTGTGAGAAAATTTTGGGAGTTTATGAGCTTCAGACTTTGACACTCGTCTAAAAAAATATCACTAGTTAATTATTTACTACTTAATACTCAAACACCGCACACGTTTTCAAGAAAATCATGTTTCTTCAGGGTATTAAAACTGTTATACCTATAATCCTTTTGAAGATGATGTTAGAAGAAAAGCTTTATGATTAGTTAATTGTATTGTTAACCTTTTGTTAGATATGTAATCAAAATAAAAATATCTACTGCTATTACTTAATCGTATCTATGCAAAAATGAACAAATATGCAGTTATAATTGTCAGAAGCACTGTATAAAAGTAGTTTGTACTTCGTAAATATAAAACTTCACATTTTCTAGCATTTAAATGAAGTAAGAACAACAATGTTTTTGGTTTGTCTAGATTTTTGAGTAAAATTAACTATATGAAATTTCAAGGATCTATTTTGTTATCTTGCATATCGGTCATTTTACCTCATTTGTCGAATATGTTACATTACTTAAAAGATTCCGATCAGTTAGATTTTAGTAGATGAGTTTTATGTTCATTTACAAAATTATCAAAACTTAATTGTTATATTTTTCATATTTCCAAAATCTTTAAATCTTTGATATCTCTCACATAATTTTATTACAATTTCTACTTTAACTCGATATGTAGATTAGATATATTTTGATAGTGTAATAGACACACTTTTTATTAACTTACGCTGATTAAATTGAAGTACAACTTGCATTACACAGAATGGCAAAATACATAAACAACTTAATTTACTTTGTGTTCTAAATACTTAAACTTTCTTAGAATGTGACATCTTTAATAAAAAATGCATGATATAAAATTTGGTTATTAACACAAAAACTGTCATTATGTTATCTAGATTAGTGATGAAAAAAAAACATTTAAGCCTATAGAATCTAATTATCTAGAAAAAGATTTTGATCATCAAATATTATGAATTCGGAAAAGAACTTATGAACTTTACATATATTAGGTTCGTCTCGAAAACACAATTTTATTTTTAATTATTTTTGGAAAGATCACTGATAAAATTTGTCTCTTGTCAGCGGCTGGTATTAATTACATAAAAATATGTATGTAAGAGAATATATGTTGATATCATTTAATTGTATACTCTGCTGCGTAAACTTATTTTAAGCTTATTAGCTTACTTGCGCTTTCAATGTTAAGATTTCAGACGTTACTTAGAAGATACTACCATTCTATCTAAGTATGTGTGGTGTATATATGTTGCTTAAAAATCAGACATTAAAGGTAAAAGTTTGATTAACGAAGGCTATTTCCCAGTTATCTTATGATCTCACATGAACATACATTATAAACATGAAACAAATAACAATTTTTATTTACATAGATGTATTTTATATATGACTACTGATTAATAGTCCTTATTTTACATCCAACCTCTAATTATTTCAAACCCAGTCAGTACCAAAACTTTATTTGCTTGAAACTGTTAGTCTGTTTTTTTTTTGTCAAAGAGCTTTGATAGTTTAAAATTAATTGAAGAATTGTTGTTACTAAACAAATATTTCTTATTAGATCGATATATTGCAACTAAGTTAGTACTCGGACATACATTTGGATTATTGATTAAAATCAAAGAAATTGAGAATGAATATGTCTTCAATTTAGGATATATATTTAGGCAGCAGAATTAAGTCACATCTTTGAAAGACGGCTTACATTATACAATTGCTTTCTTTATGATCACAATTATCACCATGTTTGAATTTGAATTTCAAATCAGTGTCGGACTATGTGTAAAAAAATATTTTCCTCAGGTAAACCAACAAAAATCATATGTTTACACTTTCTTTTATTGTGTGTATATGTAAAAATATACACCAAAGTGTGCAATTCGCTTTATTTGCGTATATACTTGTCTAAATTAGTAGGTATTCAGCAAAGAGGCAACTAATAAAACAAGTACTTTAAATGAACTCGACTAGAAAATAAACATTACTGTATGTTTATTTGGATTTGCTTTTACTTTAAAACTACTTTTAGGACCATAACAACTCTATAAAACACAGCATATTTGTTATTACAACGACATTTTCTCTAGAAAACGTGACTTTAGTATAGCCTTTTGAGAATCTAAATGTTACAGAATATTTGTAGTGATACCATATTGCCTTGGATTAGGAGTAATTTGACGCTCTGTTTTTGTGTTTATTGCATAAAGCAGAAAAAAGATCCGCATAGCTTTTTGTGTATATATTATTAGATCACGTTTTGCATGTAGTAGGTCGGTTTAACTTGTAATTTACTCGAAACTTCATAAAAATTTCTATTGAATTCAAACAGCGTAAAAGACTATTAAATGACTAATTCTTTCCTTCAGTATTATATAATTTGATAATATAATTCCCAACTACTTTTTATTGTAAGATTTTCAGTTTCGTACGCTGGTGGTATTCAAAAAGGTTAGAAACTGATCACAATTTGCACATCAACAGTACTCACCAATCAGGAAACGTTTTTATATTTTTAACTTTACTTAGTAACAAGGCTACTCATTGGACGTATCCATCGTGAAATTACCCCAGTTTTAATAAATTGAAAAATAAAGTAAATGAAAATTAGTCTCTTAATATATAGTATTTTCCCATAAAAATGGTAAACTATATGTGATTTTCACAAACATTTGAATATTCATCATGGACCTTGCTCATGCACTGTGAGAACAATTCATTCAGATATGCGCTCTAGTAAGTTTATTCACAGGAGTTCTCTTAATCAAAAAATGTAAATTACTACATTCCATAAAGTCTGATATTAAATCGAAAGCAAATTTTACACCAATATCCTATACTGATAGACAGTTTTTATCAACTATTAAGTATGAATACTTAAGCAGAAAAACACTTTCTACCTTCCATATTGAACTAAAGCGTACTAAAAAGAAGAATAACCACTGAAATCTATACTTCTTTATTTTCTCTAACCGTTACTTCATGACGCTATCCAGCTGACGCATTACTAATTAATGGGAATAATTTTTCTTTTACGTTAGGGTAATATATCTTTATTGAAATATAATATCTGTCGTGTCTTATGACTGAAATATATTTTATGCTCCTTCATAATACACTAATAAATTGTCATTAACGTATAATAATCTATCAAACAAAATAATGTACACAGAAACACATGTATAACATCTGATGATATTAGTTAAAAGAAACACTTGTACTTTTAATGATAAATAAGCAAGAATCAAGTTAAATAATATATTTTTGATTTCATAGTTATAAACTATTTTGTTAGTTATTTGCTCTATGAATGCTCACAATAATTTATCTTAATTCTTTTAACATATTTATTGAGAAAATTTTCCTTTATTAGTTTATTTTCTAACGGCATTAAAATTGATTACCAGTATTTTTACAAGTGATCAGTTACAGAATTTTTTCGCAAGAATTGAAAAGAATCAAAATGTATGAGGGTTGATAAACCAAAATTTAACACGTATTTATAAATTAAATAATGAGAATTTAATTTGTTAAGAATATATATAACCATTATGTAGTAGAGAATACTTTTAAAACTTATATTCACTGACAAGTTCCTAAGAGAATCAAATAAAACAGACTAAGAAACATTAGAGTTTCTGTATTCATGAATACTTTGTTTTTCTATTAATAATTATTTATGGATTCCAGATATTAACAAAACATTTACTGATAATAAACGAAATAAATGTGCTTGTTTTATTTTTTATATATAAATATTTACATGAAATCATCGAGGAACTTGATTTGTTTTATTTATTCTAATAAATTCGTCAAGTTTACATATTATTTGACATGTTTTTTTTATAAAGATAATACTCACAAATAGCTATTATTTTATACATGATTATGAAATATCACAATCTCATGACCACCCTTTGTAAATTCAGACTATTACTACTTCAATACTAAACTATTAAATACACAAAATGTATTTTTATTAGTAAATTAATTTTTATCAAGAAATTACTTGTTCAACTGATTATTAATATTGGTATTAAATTCATAAAAGTTCTGTGTTTATTATGAGAGTTCTGAATGTGTATTGAATAAAAGTTTAAAACCTGAGTTTCGTACTATTTAGTAACAGTCATCAATGGAAATCCCTTATAAATTGATACCTCTCATAAAACTCAAATTTATGTTGTCCGTTATGATGAAGATTAAAACAAAATCACCTGGAATCAAATTTGTTGTACTAGATTTATTCGGTTAGATAACTCATATAGAGAAAATAAAACAACTGAAATCTGATTTTGTCTATGTTTAGTTTAATCTAGATATGAAATTTCATATTTTAATCACAACTTCTATTTTTAAAAAACTCTGCCACATGAGGTATGATGACCTTGAAACTATTATACAATTAGTTCCTTTTATGAACTCAACTAAATGCAGGTTTTTGAAATCTAAATGTTTACAGTTATCTAATCTTTCGGATAATTAGCTTGTAGTGAATATGAAGAAATCTGTGGATTACACATTTTGCAAAAATTTTTTTGCATCATATGATCACATGAATACACTTTTTAAATAAACAATACCTTTATTCCGTTAAGGCTTTTACTGAATTAGTTTCCAGGCTTTAACATCTTATTTCTTCTCTCTGTTCTTTTACATTGTAGCAATACGAGTTGACGTTGAGGACGCAAATCACTTTAAGAGAAACATTCTGACGGCAATCGAATGTAAACTAGGAGTAAAGTTGCAGCCATTCTTCATTGTTGCTGGTCTTTTGAGAGATGTGAAAGATCCAATGTTCGCACTTCAAGCATTCCTAGGTAAATAAACAATTCCTACTATATTTTCACTTACGCTACGTGACTACTTATAAGTAGGTAAATCAAATTTATGATTTAATTATATGTAACCAAGGTTAACTTCTTTCCTTCACCTCGAAGCCAAAATAGTTTACCAGTTTAGGATATTGCTTGTTGATATTAAACTTCCAGTGGCCACCGCTAGTAAAAAATTTTATTATTTTAAATTAATTCGTAAGGTTTGTTGAGCTGATATTCCTGACTGAAGTTTAATCACTTTCGGCATACGTGAATCCTGTGCGGATTACCTCGATGTGGTCATTTTGTCACACGTTTTTTTAAAGGAACGAATCGCGGTTGACAGTGCGAATCCCGAACGCCCGTATATGAGCCTTTTGGATACTGAATTATACAGTGAATGAGTCTTGAGTAGTGTGAAACATGCTTCCTGGATTCCACCGCGAGCCACAACCCATTTGTTCTATGGAATATATTTTTGTCTTCCTCGCATCGTAAATCTGTTTCTGCATTGATTATTTACAGTGATAATGAATTTCCTTCGTGAATTGACAAAGTTGCCTGGGCCTTGTAATACTTTCCATAAGAGAGCTGTTTTCTTTGACAACTGACAACTCTTATTTAATGGCAGAGCTCATACGTAAAATGAATTTCCCCTGACCAGACTGGAAGATTATGGCTAATTTCACTCCACAAATAGGTTTTCAATGATGCTTACCATATAAACTCCATCCCAGTGTCCTAAAGGTTAGGCGTCCGTCAGCGAAACCAAAGGTTTCAATTTTCAATCCTGTTGTTGGGGTCCTGGGTGCGCACTGAGGTCAACGCGTAACCTCAATGAACATCCCAAGTGGATATCGAAGGATATATACTTGTGTTACGTCGATTACTACTTACCTTTTGAGTGACCTATGGTTTGTTCGAATTTATCTTTTACTAACACAGCAGACTATTTATGCCTGCATAGCTATCGTAGTATATAATTAGATGCATATTGATTGTAAAAGTCGTTTTTAAACTAGAGTCAGGTTTTAGCATTTATTGGACAGTAAAAATCAAATTACAATGAAGAGGGACTTTTGTGTTAGACATCTAGTCCTGAGTAGTTTTCTAATCTATATAATGCTACCCTTTGTTGACACAATGGCATTAATTTAATTAGCTAGAATAAACCAGACATGTGTTCCAAAACATATTCAGTTTCTTTCATTTACTTTGGCTCAAACTATAGTTATTCCTTTCCTTCGTACTGGAAATCCTATACTACATAACATGAACCCCAATCTCATTTTTTGTATATGTTTTCCTAATATCGACCTACGAAGAATCCTAACTGTACATATATTACTATGTTCGCAGTGTAACAAATATAGTGTTTCCTACAATTTTTATCAGTAATATGATTTAAACTCTGTGGACTATAACTCACTAAACTATCCTACCATTTTTCGTATGACCTTTCAACTTTATAATGGGGCATTTTGCACGTATCTAACACGTAAGTGATTCAAAATCGATAGTTGTCAATTTACATCACATTTGGTATATATATATACCCTAGTTTATAGTGTTTATAAACTTATACTTGTGAAGTTATTGAAGACAATTGTTTGCTCACATATCTTCCATTTTGAGTAAATTATGGAAATATTTAAATTATTAAAATGGTTTATCCACTATTCTGGATTTTATTTGATTACTTCTTAAAATGTTCTCCTATTTATCAGTCACCAAAGCTGTAGTAATACCTAATCATAATTAATTTAATGGCGTAATTATATAGAAGTCAGTTTCTCCGTACTTCGTTCAAGCATTTTTGTCATATTTCTTTTTTCTTTTATTATTGTTTTCCCAGAATGGAGAAATCAAGATAAAAAAGAGAATAAAAATTCGAAAGTGACTTCAACTATTAATTATAAATCTTATAATCTTTTGTATGTTGGATCAGTTGTAAGTTATTCAATACTTGTTGTAATTAATATGAATATAAAAAATTATAACAAAAATCACCAGCCCAAGTCATTATTTTCTAACTGAAATGTAGATTAACAAATAGTGCATTGTTAAATGTGATTATATGACATGTTAGGTAACTAGTTTATTGAACTGTTATTAGATTACCACAAGTAAATTCGGTGAAAGTGTTCAGACTATCGTTCGAATGCGTTGAAATAAGCTTAGGAAATTATGCAAGTCTAGATTTATATGTTTACAATGTCATATATACAGAAAATATTGATCTATGTCTTACCTGTCATGTTTTTTACTCAGTATGATATAAATAAGATTTTTTCAGTGTACTGTTTTATTTCTTTTTATGCAATAACATTAATTTGACGGTCATTTTTAATTGACAACAGATATATTATAATATCTCTGCTTGTAACCCATTCCTTATGTCATTCTAAAAATGGATCGTAAACAAACATTAAAAACTCTGAGTTCATATACAGGATTAAATGTCATAACTATTTAAAAGAATAATTTAAATGATTTTATGATGCAATGTGTTACGTCCTTGATCTGTTTACCCACTTTTGGCGCTGAGGATACTTATCTAATCCAGATTTAAGACCTTGGCGCGATAGGCTGACCGACCTAACTTTGAGGCTAGTACGCGTGAGTTTGAAGTGGGGTAGAGAGAAGAAAACTATTCTATCACCTGATTGGCTGACAAGCACACAAATGAGAGAAGACAAGACAACTGGAACACTACCCAATCTATTCCCGATATCTTGATTTCTGATTAGTGTTAAAAGGTACATGAATAAATAAGTAACTAACCCGACCACAACGTACAATGATTAGGAAAAATACAATTATGTCCAAAGCTGGGAATTAGAGTAGAAAATAGAGTACAAAATATTATGTTTAAATTACAATAGCTTCGGAACAGAAAAGGGTATGGCAATGAATCATACATCGAACGAAAGCTTATGTTCTTTAGAATAGATTAGGGACAAAAATAAACGTTAGTGTTTTACAAGCTTTGAATAAAATGGAATAACGTGCCTAAAAATAGCCTTCGTAGTTTGTCAGAGCTTTTTGTTCCCCTGTTCAACACAATGTATAGAATCTGTTTTATTGATATATTCGGGAACACCGTTTCAAAGGTATCATTGCTCAGTTTCCACTATTTGCTACCATCTGATTTGAACAATCGAACATCATTTTGAAACTAACGTAGGCTAATTTTAGAGACTAGTTTTGTATTACTGTTGTGACTACTCCCAAAACCACAACGAAACCTTCAGAGGCCCTGGAAGTGCCGAAGTGATCCCGTCCAATCAGAATATGATAGAACCTTATAAAATATCGATGCGACATGCTATTCTTGGAAAATTGAATAGCTTACCTACTTGTTGGTTGGCTGGATTATAATGATGTTATAGCCAATATCCCTGTTTTCCTGTACATTTTTGACTCTTACCTGGTGATAACTTCCCCTGATTCATCCGCCTTTTGTTTTGAGATTGTGGGGTTATACATATTCGATTGCCAATAGTTGTATACCGTATTTTTCGGTAATCAAGTAGGGCATGTAATAATTACTGCTTTCAATTAACACTACTCAAGATTCTAATTTAAACCTTGAGGTAAAATATTGATCAAGTCAATATTTTCAGGTATATATTTTATTTGTGATTGGTGGTGATTATTAACCAACCACTCAAACTGAAATATGTCTAAATTCTGCTTTGTTTGAATAATTTACAAATTAAAATGGAATTAAGTCAGTGTATTTAACAGTTGTGAATATAATACCTTGATGAACAACCAATCGGTTATTGTGAAGCCATATTTTTCATAGAGAGTTTCTAAATTCCAGATTCATTGTTGTTACTATTAATGACAAGATATTATTCATTTTATTTAGGAGTCTGAGATTTCTCATGTAATCAATAAAAATACAAGAAATGTATCAAAAGACAATGTTAAATCTGGTGATTACTTTGAGATTTTGAAGTCGCATGAATTCTTAACTTTGTAGTACTAACTGTAAGAATGAAGTTTCTAAACTCGATACTTTAGGTATCAATTAGGATTTATTTGAGTCTGAGTAATAATAACAATACATAGAAGACACGATTTATAACTATAATATTTAGAAATCTGTAAATAAATATAAATGTTTGTTCAAGTGTATCCCCACCATTAACCACCAATCCAGTAACTTCATTTTTGGAATCAGATGTAAATTGTGCAACATAAAAGACTACTACAAAGTGACTTTTAGACAGATTAGACATACAAAAGTACTCTACTTAGTGCAATAAAATATTTCAAGGTAATTCTTAAAAATTTTAAATAGCTAACAATCTATTGTACGAGTTATTAAAAAACTAACTCTGAAGTTGAATTAAAACTAATAACTTTGTGATAAATACTTATTCAAATACTTTAGTTATGATGTAATTTACTCACGAAAAACAGGAATGACTTATAATTCTGCAAAACGAGCCTTTTTATAGTGTACAGATAAAGTGAACAAGCTACAATCAATTTCAAACTGGCAAATGAATATACATCGTAGTCTATCAGAGAAATTTCAATTTTTTATAACTCCAGTTAGGAATCCGAATAACTTGAGACTAATCTTCATTGTATAATTTACAGCGGTTATGATAAGTCTTATCGATTGAACGCTTTATTAGTTTCCTAAGCTATTCTGGTAACCCGCAAGTTAGAAATACGCAGCGACTCGAACACCAGAGAGAAGACGCAAGTATGAGGAAAAATACTTTACTGCAAGGTTCATTCTATTACAGAAAATATAGGTTTTTTATAATATTTTAAGTGTCCTTGGGTCGCTGGAATATTCTGGAATGCTACTAAACATAGTAGCACTGTAGTAGCCAACCAATCAGATCTCCCGCATGTGACGTTTCGCTACCTTGATATTTCTGGCCAAGTGAACGCTGATTGGACGAAACACTTCTTAGTGTTTCTTGATGCTTACTTGTCTTTTGCAAAAACTTTCTGGATCACCCCAACAGGTTACAAATTACTGATGTATTCTGCACTTAGGAAGTAGGCACTTAAACTTTACTTCATGAACTCATATGTGGTTGTTCTACGCTAAAACTAAACAGCCATCGAACGTCAACCGGACTTAATCGAGTGTATTCAATATAAGGAAAGTGAAGAATAGTCATGTTTAAGAAACCTTCTGTTGTCTACTAAAAATGAGGGGCATATGACATAATGCGTCTGCATGAATTTATAAATAACGCGAAAAAAAAATCGACAAAACATTATTAAAAAGTATGGCTGTAGATTACTAAAAAATGAATATAGACTATTAATTCATGACAGATGAAATTAAAAACTCAAATGATAAAAAATGACAATATGGATTTTAAGACGTTCCTAGCATCATATTTTGTATAATCAACATAAATTTTTATATTTCATATTTAAATCAGTCAAAAATAGAAGTTTGACTAGTAAATTTTCTCTCATTACTCACTTTAAAACAACTCGATTACATATTCACATATCCTATCAAATTAAATGGTGACCATAGTGATTCGGTCTATGTTCTCACAGTAAAATAGATATGTAACAATAAAGTAATTCTGCTTTTGTGACACTTACAGGAGTACACATAACTTCGTACGAAATATAATAAGTATTTACTTAAACCCTCTACCAGCCGTGGAGGTGCATAGGCCGCCCACAAGCATTCTACATCCAACTCTGTCCTGGAATACCCTTCCCAGCTGCTAATCATCATTTTCATGTCTAACTCCAATTCCCAACTCAGTCTGTTCCCTGGTCTTCCTCCTTCCCGTTTACCTTCAACATTCCAGCTCAACGTTTGCCTCGTGCTGCAGTTTAACGACACCCTCAATGTGTGTCCTGTCCACCTCCAACATCTTTTTCTAATTTCTTTTCCAGCTGGAAGCTGGTTTGTTCTCTCCCACAATAGACTGTTGATGATGGAATCCGGCCAACGAACATTGAGCATCTTCAGTAGACAAGTATTTATAAATACTTGTACATTCTTGACGAAAGTTGTAGTAGTTGTCCAAGTTTCAACTCCGTACAATAAAACTGTGTTGACGTTCGTATTGAAGATTCTGACTATGATATTGGTTGACAGTTGTTTTGAGTCCCATTTGTTCTTCGACTGTAGGAGTGCTGTTGTTGGGTTTGCCAATCCTTGCCTTTACGTGTGCATCGGATCCTCCTTGTTCATCGACGATGCTGTCCAGATAAGTGGAAGTTCCCACCTGTTCTCGTATTTCTCCATCAAGTGTGATTGGTGTTGTTGGTGTTTTGTGTGTTTTATTTCAGCATCTTGGTTTTTTGCTGGTGTATGTTGAGTCCTGCTGATACAAAGGCAGCTGCTACACTGGTTGTCTTCACCTGCATTTGTTGGTGTGTGTGGGATAGTGGATGTAGGTCATTTTCGAAGTCCAAATCGTTTAGGTGCATGCAAGCTGTCCATTGTGTTCCATGCTTTATCTGTGATGTTGAGGTTTTCATAACCCAGTCAACTATTAGAAGGAAGAGTAGTAGGTAGAGTAGGCAGGCTTGTCTGACTCCGGTCCTCACTTTGAATGCATCAGTCGGTCGCCGTCCATGCACCACTTTGCTGTGTAGTCCGTCGTATGAACTACGGTTTTTTGTAGCTATGTCATCAGCATATCTAATCTTTCATTCGGTTCAACAATAATCTATTGGAAATTTACCCGATAATGATAGCATAATATTTCAGTAGTTCTCACACTTGCTGAGATCTCCCTTTCTTTTGTATATTGATGAGATATCCTTCTTTCCAGTCTATCGCCATCTGTTCTTTCTCACACATTTTCCTGAATAGAACGTTTAACATGTTTTTAGTTGCTTCTATATCTAAATTCAGTGCTTCAGCTGATATGTTGTTAGGTTCTGGTGCTTTCCCACACTTAATTTGTCTGATGATCACCCTGATCTCTTCGATCACTGGTGGGGCGACGGCTGTAGGAAGGTCTGCGTGTGTTGCCTCAATGTCCGGTGGGTTCAATGCGGCGGGCCTATTCAAGGGTTCTCCAAAATGCACTACCCATCTGTTCCTCTATTCTTGAATCTAAGTGATTGGCTTGCCCTTTGTGTCCTTGACCGATCTCTCTGGTTCACCATATTTCCCTTCTGGTTTCTCCGTTGTGTCACATAGTTGTCTCATATTTCTTTCTGTTGCAGCTTTTTTCGCTGTCTTCCACGTATTTCTGTTTGTCAGCTCTAACATTCCTTTTCACCTGCTTCTTTGCTTCTGTGTATTCGACCTGTGCTTTGACTTTCTCTTTCTTGTTCAGCTGTTGTTAATTGCTGTCTCTTTGTTCTTGATTTCTTGAATCGATACAGATTCACTCTTTATGAAGATGTTTCTTGCGGCTCAGATATCTTGCTAGTTGTCCTCCATTGTAGTTGCCTCTACTTTGACTGCAACCTCCCATAAAAATGACCCTTATTGTCTTCATTGTTATCATTGGTAGGTGCATAGCACCGGATAACATTAATTATTATCCCCTCCTTCTTGGTTTTGACGACTCCGGATCTATTAAATTCCCATCTCATAAATGCTCTTCGTGCTTCTTTGGACAGCATTAGTGCAACTCCTTGTGTGTGCAAGGTATTTTCTTCGTCATCAAGAGGGTACAATAGTAAACCAGGATAATTTGTCTGCGTCAGTTTTCTATTTGAAATGAATTACTGTGTAGAGAGTGAAACACTTCAGTTTAGACCTAATTATTTTAATGAACAATAGGATAATAAAATCAGTATGTATCCAGTTTATTCATTTTATAACTGAAATAACATGTAGCATAGACCAATGAGTGATAAATATTCGAAGTTTATTTTATATCAGTTGGGATATGACCTTGTTTTCAGTAGGTCCATTGACATATACCTCACGAACATACACTATATTAACTCTATCATTAAATACACAAATTTGTTCAAGCACTTCAAGTTCCTGATAGTTGGCTTTCAGTTTGCTTTACAATTATATAACTAGGTTTTTTTTCTGGTGAATAACAATCTATTCTTTATTTTTTCATTTGGCTCTATCATTCATCTTTTTTTTATTTTACTTAAACTAATGTAATCGTGTTAACTATTTTCCTCCGTGCACACATGTGACATACTGTAGTTAATTTAGATCATTGTAACATGAAAGATTATATACATATATATGAATAACAATTGCAAGTTAGTTTGCTAGTCAGGTTTAGATTTCTTACTGTCTAAATATGTACGTTTGTTTGTGTGCATATATTTAAATCCATTCGTGTTATTTATCTATTTGTATGCTTTCTTTGAGTGTAGAACGAAAAAAAGAAAGAATTATTCTTAGTTTCTGTTAACTATAAAGTATTAGCATGAATGAAGTTTACTGACTATGGTCGATAAACAAGAGAATCGAAAACAAAATCAACAAATAATAACCTGTTTTTAAGTCTATATAATAAATAATAAATTATTGAAATGAATAAAGCCAATTTTTGTTTTAATGTACTTATTTTATTACCATGACTACATTTTTATTGAAAACATCAGTTTGTCAGTTGGAGAACCTAAATGTTTTTATTTGATTGTCTGAATAATTTTCAATTTATGGTTATAATTATCACAAATAGGATTATGGTTACTGTGAGTAGTGGTAGTTTGTTCTATTGTATGTTTGAGTATAATCCGTAAACATGTAATTCTCTGTAAGCGATTACTTGTTCCATGTAAACAGTAATATACCACAACTTGGATAACAGCTGATTTTGTACGTTTATCAAATAGACATACATTATCTAAAGTAATAACTTTTGTTTGCCGAAAGAAGCAAATAATAGTGTACAGTTTAGTATTTGAACTAACTCGTCACAGTAATGAGGACACGTTCTGAGGAACTTATTGAATATTACTAAAATAATGAGCAACCCTAACCGAAAATATTCCATAAACTCGGTAGTTAATTTCAATTAGGTTTTCGAGAAAATAAAACTGTATATCTAGTAGGATTTAAATTTTTTTAAACAACAATTGAAACATAATCATTCAACATTTTGAGAATAGATTCATTACAGATTAAATAATTAATTTAAAATTAGGAAGTATTTCAGAATAGAATTATTGATATATTAAATCAAAACAACTTACTATTTGTTCTTTATTTGACTATAATTATATTGTATAAACTAACCATTTCCTACGTGAATTCATGTAATCTCTAATTTTTTTTTATTAGGAAGAAGATACAGAAAATATACAACAATTTATTGATGAAATAGATGGGTAAGTTTTTTCTTGCGAGTAATATATCATGTCGCTTAAGTATTATTTTTCTAACTTTAAATTACTAAAATTTAATAAAACAATTAAAGGATATTGATATTAATTAGTTGACTTACCAAACAACTGTATAGAAAATATCCTTAAAATTTACGGAATTATGATGGGATTCAGTGATGTCTATTCAAGTCATCTATAGGAAGCAATTTCCTACAGGTGTAACTCTAAGCTATTCTCTAGACTGTCGAGCACAGAGTCTTGGTTTAACCAAAGTCAGAGCAAGTAAGCTATTTGGCTTGATAAACTTTATTTCTAAAAAATAAATTAACACCGTTAGTGTACAAATCAAACAGCACAGTCCATTAACACAGGAAAAAACAGAGACATAAATAACATACCGAACAGTAACTAGAGCATAGGAAAAATGAGTCAACATGGCAAATATTGTTTTATAATGAACATAAAATTATGATTGGTGAATAAACAAGACATAGTCATACAAGGTCAAAGGAAGTTAATGTGGTGGTAGGCGTTTCACTTTATCATTGGGGAGTTCATTTATCGATCACACTTTACAGTAGCCACATTAGCAATCACATAATAATTCATGAAACTTATATTTGTTAATAACTTGAAAGCTTGATCTGACGTGGATTTGTGCAACGCTTTATTTTGATTATAGCTGACTTTAGAAGTTTGGAAGTTTATATGAGTTCTATAACAATGATATATGGTAATATTTTTTGGTTACTTATTGCGAAACAAATTCTGAATGATAAATTAATAAGTATGATAGATTATCATATAGATAATATTATTATGGATAAAAAAAAGAACGATAGTCAATTCCACTTACTATTAATTCAATAGTTTACGTATAATTAAACTAAATTAACAATTTTATTCCCAATGGATTTCTTTCATTCATTTAGACTAAACAGAACCAACAAGATTGTTTTCTAGAATGGCATTTTTGTAACATTCTCTTGTACATTTGGAAAGTTAAAATATACAATTACTATCAACTCTACTCGGCTTGCACAGTGATAACTGATGATTTTTTTTCTTTAGTGGTATACCAAAATACAACTGAATATCTTACCCAACAATATAAATACTACCCGAAATTGATTAAAATTGGGTTGAATTTAATTAAATGTTACCATAGCTTTTTGACTAAGTGGGAAAATTTCTTTTTTTTCATATATAACAAACACGTAGTAAAAATAGTCCTGTTTTTGTGAAATACTATTTGAAATCAAATACTTCAATCTAATTATTGGACACAGATTATGACATTCTATATCGGACTTTACAATGTATGATTTTTTCTTTGCCTGTGATTATTTTAAGTAATAAATTTTTAAATGCTGTAACACAAAACTTGAAAGAAATTATAAATGACTCTATGATATAATGTATTACAATTAGGCCATATTTAAAGCGTTGAGACATTATTGTAATATTCTTTTTAAGTTATTCAACTACACTAATGTGTTTGATGAAATAAAGTCAAATAAAGCATTAGAAAGTTTCAGCAAAGCGTTTTGTACTGTATCATGATCGATATATGCTGAATAAGATTAGCATGCATCGACTTCATTTTAACTGAACAGTTTGATATTCAAGGCTAGGTCTAATTTCCAACTCTATCCATCAATTTGTTTGTAGAAAAGATTTGTTAAAGTTGTCATTATCAAAATCCTATTGAAGATTTTTGTTAATTCAATAAAACAATTATGGCATAACCAATTAGTTCGAAAAAAATATAATTTCCCAATAATAAATTATAAGTTTCAAAGCGAGGATATTAGTTAAATTTTCAAATATGATTAATAGTTTTAGCCTGAGATCAACATAGATATTTGATTTTTATATGCCTACTTCAACTGTACTCTTTATTCATTAATAATATCAAGGATGTGAAGAATAATGTCAATTTTTTCTTCCTACGACAATTAGTGGAATTCTTCATTATGACTGTATATGACAAACATTACAAAATTTTATTTAGGAAACATCGTATGGTACGTTGAAAAAAGCTAACAATCATATGCTCAAATATAATATACACATACAACAACCAATCAAAGAAGAACTAAACTCTGTTTAATGATTGGTCCACATCAGTCAGTCTTCACGTACCTGACATTTGAGAGGGAGAACAAAACTGCTTTATTTATTGATTAATTGAAATTAAATTTTTATATGAATGAAAATTTTACCTCACTGAAAATGTAATAAAAGAACTGAATTGTTTTGACAACTATTATGATAATATAAAATACATATTACTGTATTTATTCGAAAAAAAGGGAATATTTTTAGAAAGACAAAAAAATCATTGTATACACGAACTTCATGTACATGTGATTAGAGATCCAACCTAAGAAATGTTATACCTATTCAACTAAAGAGTGATGTTAACAACTATAGTTTGTTATAAGTATAAAAAATTGTGACAATGACAGCTATGCTGATAAATCCCTGTTTATTTATCAATTAGTTTATCTAAATGATAGTACTTGATAAACACAAAAGTCTACAAATCATAATTCGAAAATAAGTAAACTGTATGATGTACTGTAATAAAAGATAAGACAGTAACTGCTATTTGATCATTATCCATAACCCAACAAAACTAAGTGCGATATTTTAAATATGACACTTAAAAAGTCACTGATTTCTGAAGTATTTATTTTGATTAAAAATAATTAAATTGATGAAGTAAAAGGTTTAAAACATGTTGTATTTTAATTGTAAGCAAGTCTAATGAGATTTGTGGATAAATAACTGACAAAGTATCATCAGTCAATTCATTTCAGTCCCGTTTTATTTTATTGCACATCATTTCATCTCTAAAGTAGCTTAGTCTTTTTTACTTAGTTTTATACATATACAGAAGTCACATAGAGATCAAACAATATATTGCGTCTACGCTAGAATAACGAAGATTAATTGAGGATCTATACGGTCATAAAAGTCAAAGAAAACAGACGAACGAAATAAAATTACACGTACAGGGAAAATTACCTTGTGTTATTTATGTCATCGTATCTTCTCATTCTTTACACAAAAACTTGTGTGTTATCTATAAATAGTACGTTCTTTATAACAGCAAAGGGAAATCAATAACACTGATACTCGAAAAAGTAGTAAACTAATCATTGTGGAGCATAATGATCAACAAAAAAACAATAATAAACCGGTAGTTCTATGACTAATTATTGGATCACTGCCGAAAACACTTTTCCAACAAGTCAAAGGAATTAAATTTACGATACCATCTCTAGAAATAGCACTCTGTGATTCAGAAAAAGTGTCTTTATCATTTCTAATTCTACTAAAATGACAAACTTTAACACATGACGTGTTTGTTTTTTAATAGGATATTTTGATTAAATGGATAAATCACTCCAGAGCATGTATACAATGTTATAGAATCCTTATTTCAAAGTTTTGTAATATATATTAATATTACTGACGAAATTTTTTTCCTAGCATTTTGTATTAGGAAGTGATAAATCGAGTTGATCGAAATACTGATATTTATCAGGTTTCATTATTCATGGCTCCCTATGAGTATCAAATAATTAATGGATAGGTTAGACTAGCATAACTGCTCTAATAACAATCATACATATTCTTATATTTTTATTAAACTTACTCAAACTAAGTGGTGATTTTCGACCAGTGTTTTTTGGTAGTATATATATATATATATAAGCAAACAACATGGTTAGTTTATAGACTGAACAGTGAATGAACTAAATTTGAAAATTCTGTACAAATTATTCGGTTAATTATGGTAGACAGACTTGATGAACCGTTATCACAATTAAGATGTGAACTATAATGGGTCTTTTTGACAGAAACCGACAACTTAAAATGTAGATAAATGAACTTTCCACTTTATCTGATAATAATAGTAAATTTCTATTATTGAAGTCAGTTTAACAACAAAACCATGTGTGTTAAATTTTTTACTGAAACTAACGATAGTATGAGAGTTCCTATTTTAATTTTAGTACCGAAATTGTTATTAGATGAAATCTGATATACGGAACACCTTCAATATTTGACGTATTCATGTTTGATAGTCAATTATTTTCAAGTTTTCTCCTTAAATTTCAGAAAAGTTGTTCATCGATGTGATTCATTAACACAAAAAGAATTGCATTCATTAATGCTTAGCTCTCAAGCACTGATCAATTGTTCAATCAGTGAAGGGCAGTCTTTGGCTGTAATGGAGGTATGTACGCGTAAATAGTTGTATAACTATTAAAACTAATATTGTCATCTATTTATCAAGCGATTTTCTCATTTGAAAGTGATGTCAAGGTTTGTAAATGAAAAATGCTTTTAAACCTGTTTAATAATCGCGAAAAGATAAACAAACTTACAAATCATGTGAAATAAATAAATAAATAGACATGTAGAATGTACAGCTCCCAGGTATCCTGTATCTTTATAAGCCCTGTCACATTTTCTGTGTAAATATGAGTTAGTTTAATCGAATATTATTAAAATAAGAACTATGAAATAATGACAGGCTTAGTGCTTAAATATAGAGAATTAATGCATCTCTACCATTAAGACTAGTTCTGAATATTTTCACTTGAACTGCTCAATGTTAAATTACTGCTATCTCAAAAAACGCTAATCAAGAAATCGATATGCACTGATAGGGCTAAAACTAGTAGACAAAGACCTCATAGACTGTTTTTTTATATATTGATCAGACTACACAGTCTTTTTACAGTCTACTTCTATAATTGTCACAATACTTAATGATAGGCAGTGGTTGATCAATCGCCTTAATTGACGAAAGTTTACAAACTCACCGATTTATTAGTTTTAGCAAATATCCTCAGCTGACCTATCATTAAGTCGAGTTGATAGGATGGCATTAATAAAGTTGTGAATGAAAATGCATTCGAAACAGTCACATAATGTGAGCGAACTTACATTCGTCAAACATGACAAACTTTTTAACAATAATATCACTGATAAAGTACGTCAATAAGATCGTTGTCCAATCTACTATGAACATTGCTAACAATATAGAAAGATCAGCCTAGAGATTAAATTGTAATGAAAATCTGTGAAAAGAATAAGGAACTATAACCTCTGAATAAGATTAGTCGCACGAGAATAGTAAGCAAACCACAGAAAAATTCTAGACAGTATATCTAGAACTATGAGTATCAGGAAACTTTCAAGAAATTTGAACGGTTCATGTTTCGGGTCTTTTAACAAGTCTATTTATTTTTACATCGTAAAGTAACTAGTTCTAGGAAATTATAGAAATCGTCTTTTTTTCATATACATAGGCTATGTCTCTTGGAGTTCCGGTTGTGGTGAGAGAAAATCCAGGTAACTGTGATCTTATCAAACATAGAAAAAATGGGTTGGTATTCAGAACATCCAAGGTAAGTATTAAGTGCAATTAGTATCTACGATAATCACTTATTTTCAAAGTGTTCATCCTAAGTGAAAAATTTTCTACCCTCATTAGATTACAAATCGTTGTGATGTCATAGTAGTATGATTGATTGTGAGAAAGACTGAAAGGAAAGGATGAATTCCAAATGCTTGTGAGAGTGGCCTTCGCTCGTCTATGAACTGTAACAGGTGTAAGTGAATATTTAGAGAATGGAGTAAAAAATTGTTCTCTACACGAACGGATTCTGAGCCATATCACCCAACCTCTTCAACTACCAGTTAAGATAATCGCCATGACCCCAACCTGGCGGTCTGCACCTCCTAGTGCGACCCAGTTCAGCGAATGGTGACTTCATGAACAGATATTATGTCTTGGTTTGTACGTGCGTAGTTTTCTCTCAACTTATTCCTTCTGTAGCCAACATTGTGAGTCGATATATGTATTTATTAATGTAATTGTTCCCTCTTTTGGCGAATAAGTGCTCCAGATTCTATCCTAACAGTGACGCCAAGTGATGCATAAATCTAGTATCTCAGCCAAAATCAACATAGCAACGAATTATATGACATACCAAGTAATTATAGATGATTTTTAAAAAAACTAACTTCAATATTTAAGTGTACGACTTCCAGAAGCTATCTGCCATGGAAAGAATTTAAGACTTTCCCTGCAATAGGTAGTTTTTATTAGATTAATAGCAATGATCTTCCTTTTCGTTAATTTAAGATGACAAACTTATGTATGATTCTTATCGTTTTAAATTATTTCCAATACCCCAAAGACTCTATATACTAATTAATATGTATCAAGAAAATTCTTGTCAATGTACACAAAAGCGGTAAAATAATCCCAAACACTTCTATAAGTTTCAGACTATGTGAGATTAATCGGTGTTCTTCATCTTATTATGAAAACGATGACAGCAATAATCATCGATGGTTGGTAATTCATCGCACTTATTTTATGAGACATGTACATCTACGAAGTGCTGATGTTACTGATTCTTAAACTGATTCTCATCACTGGACCATCATACACTTTCCCGAATCTGTCAAATAAACAACTAGATACTTTATAGTGACCCGCTGATAACTGATCGCATAAATCTAACATAGTCTTTCGAAACATTACAAGTACGACTATTTGTAGTACATTGTGTGATATCCAATACTTGTGAATGATCTTTCTTTCCAAGCTGAACCATACAAATAGTTCCTTTATCACAGATCGATATTTCTGGACCAATAGCTTCATATTCTATTAAAAACGAAATCACATGAATAACTAGGATTTTCATCCAAGTAACGGAAATATTCAGCAACCCATCAATGACGCATGTGACACAGAATGCACTCTATTTGGTCCAAGACTAGTAGTAAACAAACAACATAAAATTTATAACTTACTGATTTTCACGGAAACCATACTTTAAAATCCTGCTACAAGTAAATTAGTTATAAGTTTTATATTCTAACTCTGAATTTGTAAATCGGTAGACGTATCTGCTTTTTTAAAACCGCTTAAACTTCCAACAACCATTTGAATTACTTCCAGTTATTCCACCATATCGCTTATCTAATTATGATAGGAAAAATGGTTGGTTGTGTTCCACTCCAGAAATTAATCCAATGTAAACATGTGGTCACAAATCTTAACAGTAGAATGAAGCTAGTCAACTTGTACAGAAATACCTAACTCAATATGGATGAGATCGCTTTGATTAATTATTAGCCTCGTATATGGTACAATATTTAAAAAGTATACATGATTATGCCCATTTTACAAAGCTTCACTTTAGAGATACTTACTGGATTTTGGTTGTTAAATTCAATAGAATTTGTATTCATTTACACAAAATAAAGGGTCTGTTTTATGTATTCAGGAGCTGGGAGAATGTCTAACTTATCTAGAAGAAAATCCTGAAATAAAGAAACAACTAATTTTCGCAGGGGAAGAGTTTATGGGAGGCAAAGAATTCCAAAGAGGATATCAAGCGAAAATATATTCACACATAATCCAACATATATATTCTAGTGTATAATCAACATATACAGCAGTCGAGTGCATAACAAACAATATCAGTGACATTTTTCTTTAAATTTCATTATAACTGATATCCATAAGTATACAATTTCGATTACAAAGTAACAATAAAGCTTTTCACTGAAGTATTGTTCACTATGATATAAAATAATAAAATCTAATTTCGTCAATTTTAAACGTTAGGAAGATGGGGGATTCGAATATGGTAAGATTCCAATAAGACAAAGATCACACTTTTCACCAGATCTATAGGGATATATATATATATATATATATATATATATATATATATATATTACTTTACATAAAAATAAGAACACAATAGTCCGAGTATGGCTAACATCTATGTCGTACCTTTGTAGTTGTGCTACTAAACAAGCTTTATGGAATAAGACAGAATCAAATTTGTTCAGTACACATTAACACCTATGATATTCCTTTTAAACTAGGCATAAAAAGGATTGTTCATAAAAAACAGTATACGAGTACTAAGACAAATAATTTTTCTGGTTTTCCTAAGCTCTAATAGACAGTAACTTTATTAGTTGGGCATTCTAGGAGCGTCTCAATTACTAACATGAACAAATCCATTAATGGTGAATTAAACTGAAAGTTCAATTCTGACTAGCGAAATAAGAATTAAATCTAAATTTAAAAGAATGGTAAGTGAGATCTTTCGGTAAACTCCACATAACCTATCGTTTATTTCGCGTAGATAACTACGAAACTGACTGATTTTCATAACATGCGGTGGTAACTTACAAGCAGTAATTTCATAATCTTTTGGAGTTAAAAGCATTCCAAATACAAAGATGATTGTCGCTTGAAAAAATATTCTAAGCTTTATAAGACTACAAAATCGAAGAAAATGCGTATACAGAAATTCTCAATCACTGATAGTTGTTCCCTTGATGACAATCAAATTACATTTTCCAGTGTAATATAAAATAATTGCAAAATATATGCATTATTCCCGATAAGTGATTCTAAAGACGTTTTTAATTTTAGCTGTTTAAAAATTGCCGACAAAAACTTGGTACGCAAAACGAAACTGACTAAGTAGCACTTACAATTCCCATCACAAACTTAGTTCGGCAAGAATTCAAATCACGTACATGTATATTATCGGCATTTTATTAGATCAAGCAGTTCCTATATATGTGAAGAAATATATCAGCATGAACAAATGAGAGGAAATAAGAACAAGAAGCCGCTGCCTTGACATATGAAATCAAAAGAAACAATGACGAACCAAATTACGGGCGAAGGCAGGAAATACGATCAAACAGATGTACAACATTCATTACTTGCACAATAAACAAATAATACTTCATTTATACAACATACACAAGATAAATGTTCATTTAAACGAACGCAAATCAGAGTAAAATGATTAAAATATTCATATGAAAAAGTCAAAGATTTACAAGATTTCAATTTGAAACAAAGTCGTTTAGGCATACTGAAACTGCCTGCAGTAATTTTACATGTGATGACAAAACGACCGGGATCAATAGTTTTGGAATATTGATATCAATATGAAATGCATAGGGTTAAAGAAATTAAATATAGTAATGAATATGAGATGACTGATTTATTAAAATGTTGAACAGCAGTTCACGCCAATACAGGATTGGCGTTTATATGAATATACTTTAATATATAATTAGGAAATAATTCGTTGTACAGCTAAAAAGTTAACTGGACTGTTGTCCAATAAAAACTGATTACCGGATATTATTGTACATTTGAAAACCGGCAATCTACTGGAGCACCAAAATGATGAGGTATGTTGATAAAAGAATAGAAGATACACAAGCAAGATACATACACGATTCAATAACAATTTAAGTGAATTCTCTGTGGAAGGCTTGATAACCATAACATAGTATGTTCGTAGGTTATTTACAAAATTTAAAATGTTAACTTAAGATGAAAAATATGACATTGGTTTAGATAAACTTAATGTATCAAAATAAGAATCTGTACAAAAATGCTTAGATAAACTGGGTTTGGGGATAGAGAACTCTGAGATTATTGAACGGGAATAAGATAATATGAAAACCCAGGTCACAAAAAAATCATCATAAACTGAAAATGATTGGATTTAATGTCAGAAAAGATTGTAAGTAATCCGTGTTTATGTATACATTGTAGTATCAAAGAGTTGGATAATCTGCTTCATATTAAGATCAACATACAGCCCCGTTATTGTTTGTTGATGAACGATCGTTGTTTGTGTTCATTTTTTGTGAAGCACAACCCACTTTAGTTAGATCTAATTGAGCTTGCAAACTATCTCTGATGCGCAGTAGGGTTTGTTCGACATTGTCGAAATGACCAGTAACGACATCAGGATAAAAGAAAAAGCCTTCATTATTTTTATAATACTTTGAGGGATGTTTAGAGATTGTGCAAAACTTCTTTGTATTTAAGTAAGGCTGACTGGAAACCCGGTGATGCCATGGAGAAGTGTTACGTTTTTCTCGTTCATAAGATCGCGTTTCTTGCCACACACGTATCTCGTTATCGCGTTGTATGAAGTATTCCAATAACCCAGATAGATGAGTTGGATTATCTTCTGGATTCTTCTCGATATCATACGACGGAGCAACCGGACTGTTTGAAGACGCTGGATGTCCGGAGAATGAAGGAATAGGAGGAGGAGGTGGGGGTGGTGGAGTCCCTGTGGAAATCACCAAACCATACAGATGTTGAGAATCATCTAAGTTAAATGTCTTCTTATAGTAATGAGTCAGTTTATCAAACTGTACTTGTTTAGTAGAAACTGGTATATTAACTGAAGGCTTGTGATCTACAACTTCGGACCCAATACGATCCTACAAATACAAAAACATACCACAAATTTTAAAAGATTCAATGGAAGATAACTAGGGTTCGATACGCTGAAAATCCTAAATTAATGTCAAAACAACTAAAGTAACACATAATCACTACAACAACAAAATTAAAGTAATTAATGAGTTTTATATGTGAAAAGTCTTTAAATCAGTTAAATATTGTATAATTTACAAAACAACGAAATGGTTGGAAAGCTAGTTAGTTTTTAAAATTATTTCATAGTAAAAATAAAAGATATGATTCATCCTTCTGTGTACTAACTAACAAGACCTCATAGTCATTTAATTGTCAATTGAATTACTCCATTAAATATAGATTAATGCTAAATAATTAGTCGTTTTAATAAAACTAGATAAAGTAATAAGAATATGAAGTTTATCTAGTTGATCTGTGCTTCTAAATCGTATATACCTTAACAAGATAATACGTATTCAAACTGTTCAAAACGTATTGCATTATTACATCACAGTTCTTTGTCTTCATACTGCATAACCTACTTTTACTTGAAAACAGGAACCAATTAAACTCAAAAACTGTCAACTCACTTGATCGTACTCCTTAGCATGATCGATGTCATGTAAAAGATTTTCACGATTAATTGGTTTCGAAGAAGCAAACATGTTAGCCCGGAAGCACGAATCAGAAAATTTGCTAGAATTCACATCTGGAGGTGAACTGTTCCTGAAAGGTAGCTTTTCTGAGGCTATACGAGAGTCCGAGAATGTAGATGTTGGTGAGCTGTGAGAAGAAAGCACTTTACCAGGAAATCTTATGAACGGTTCAGGAGAACTACTAAGAGCACCTCTACTAACGGGATTTATAGAATCGACCCCGATATCTTCATCATCGTCATCATCTGGTGGCTCGCTTGGTGTTCGAGGTCCACGTTCACTTACTTTTGCATCAACAAAATCACGTTCGCTATCGAATTCACATCTTTTTGGTGTATTTGTGTAAGGTGATAGGGGTTGATTGTAATCATGAAGAACCTCAGGTTTCATGTTCAATGTTGTAATTTTTTGCAGTAACCCATCAGAACTTCTTACATCAGAGGATGGCCTTGACTCATTGTGAAGATTTGGGAGCGTTATTAGAAGTTGGTCAGGACTAATCAGAGCTGGTGGGATTATAATTTCTAAATTATCAATATTACCCTTTGATTGATCTAGCGGCTCTTTCGTCTGCTTATGGTTTCGTTCCGTAGCGGGTGTGAGGGCTGGTAGACCACGACGTCGACGATATTCAGAGAGGGAAACACGAACTTTACGTATCTCTTGCAATCGCAACTCTTCAGCTTGTTGCTTCACTGTAGCTTTCTTCGGAGGAAGCTACCAAGTAAGAGAAATGCATTAAAAATCTAATCAACTGAACATAAACGAAGTAGAATTCTTCAGATTTTGCTTTGATGTTCACCGGTCACAATGAAAAAAATCATTATTCTATGACTGAGATTTGATAAAAATACTCACAACTACTGCTTTTACGAACCGACACGCGATACTTTTTATCTTTAAATTTTGTTTCCGTAACAAATTTAGCAAGTATGTTACTACTACTGTCTTTTTAATTCATAGAGAACTGTGTTGACATGACATATCACAGGTACTAACTATATAAAATATATCTACTGTTTTTTGACTAAGATATAGATGAATTTTCAGCACTGGGACAATGGAGTAAATTTTCATCATAAGTTGTTAAAACGTATGTTGTAATGTACGTTAAGTAATAAGAAGAAAAATGCATACATGTTAGGTTTCACATTCTTTAAATCCAGAAACAAATAAATACATGCGTAGACCGATTACTCGTAGACCTTCAAAGTAGAGGTTAATCAAGTATACATTATTTTACCAATGGTTATATGCCTTGGACAAACTGTTAGCACCTGAAAAAACTAAAAGACAGACTTAAAATACAGAATATTAATATAAGTGTATGCCCTGGTACGGGCGAGGGTGGGAAGAATCACCTCTCCCTCTCGAAATGCCCTCACATGGCCACACATACACAACCACTGCCAGCGAAGTCCTACTCACTGCCTTCTCGTGGTGGGGGTGTAGTTTATGAAATTGAGAGAACGAAAGGCGGATGTCCGGCGCTTTGACCTAGTCGGTCGACACAGAGGGTTCACCTAGGAAAGTTGGAAAATCCTGATTCCAAACCAATGGTGCACATGGGCTCCAGGTATTTTGAAGGAACAAATGGCGTATTAACCAACTATTGGTCACCGACTACCATGGGACTGCATCTCCTGACGTTGCTCCACTGCCTTGTGGATCAGACCTTTAGGTCGAAGGCTCCAGACGTGGCCTCCTAACAAAACCACCTGCGTCGGTCTGGGCATCCGGACAGTATAACAGCCCACACACTAATCAAGTGACTTGTGTGGCGCATATGTATTCGATGTCCCTTTGTACCAATATTTATGTGTTCAAATAAAATTTTAAAAAATAAATGGTGTAACAATTTTCCTTATTCTACGTAACGAGCTTCAAAAAAGAAACTTACAGGAGCCAGATGAGTTGATAGACCATCGCAAAACTCAGGATCTTCTTGTGATTCTGAAGTAGCTTTAGATTCTGGATTGCAAACCACCTGTTCATCATCTGGATTGCTCACTAAACGATCAGACAAAATTGTGACACTTTCTTTCTTGAGATTATCATCGCTTTCGAAATACGTACAAATAGGTAAGTCTTCAGAGATCCCGGAAAGTCGGGAGATAATCCTCTTTTTCGGATTAACTGGCGTAGCACATGGATTTTGTATGACTAAAGAGGAATCTGATTTAGTGGACAGTGAATGATTAATTGAGTGAGAACAGTTTGAAAAATTATTGTTAGATAATTCTACATCTTCCTCCATTAGAGCCTAAAACAGTATAATCAAAACCGCAGAAAATAAATCGAAGACATGATTCGATAAGGCATTTTATAAAACAAAACATTTATTCTCTATTAGCTCATGTTTTTTTCACTAATGAAGCTGTTGCTCAGTACTTCTGGTATTCAGTTTCCATCGATTAGATTGTGTTTAAGATCAGCTCCGTTTACTAAGATTCAAGCGGATAATAGATTATAAGATATTAAACCACAAGTATAGTTTGCAGCCGAATGGGCTTTTCGTATACACGTCGAGTCTCTTCAGTCACTAGCACATTGACTAGTATAACACATTAACGCTCAAGATGTTTATAAAACAGGTTTTTTTAGTGCCTTTACCACACAAACATGTAGTCTGTGTACTATATGTCGATGAAAAAATTCACGCGAATGGTTAATTCATCACGACAGAACAAAACAAAGTTTGAATTAACAAAATCTGATTTAAAACAACATACTAGACAATAAATATTCTCAGAATTTTGGTACACATTATTTATGCAGAAGAGGAAGCTAATGATTTGACCACAGGATAATGATGAACTCCGATATTATTGAAAGTGTGGATGATCGACACTCCTATAATGTTTAAGTGAGAAGCCTAGGGAACAACTGCCTGATTTAAGTCGCACACAATTCCTAACAAACATTTTTCCAGTTCAGTAGTGTGAAATTTACATTTTTAGATGTTAACATCCACAGTGAAAATTCACAAAGCCACTAGGTATTAATTTTAGCCTTCATATTTTCAAACCTCTTCTTTCATTTGAAAGAAAGCCAAGCTGGCATTCAGCAAGGTTAATAATATGAATGTTGAAATGATTTGGACAGAATATTACTATTTTAAAATATAGAGAAATTTAACATTAAAGAAAGTCAAAACCAAGATCAAGATCGTTCCAGCTTTTTTTAAACAAACGGAAACTCAATGATGATCACATTACATTTATTCCCTCACCTAAAGCTCAAAAGAATGTTACAACTAAGGATAAAGAGGCTGACTAAATTGATAAGCGTCACTTTATTTTCAAAACATTCGAAATTTAGCAATAACACTAGTACACTGAAGATTCTCTTGAAATTTTAGATTAACATACCCGAGATAACCACCGTTTCTTTGTAGGTCTAGGAGTTTGGTGCAGAAATGGTTGTGTCAAACAAGATGTTGACATATCGTCAACAGATGTATAAACATCTTGTCGAGTGTCAGTCACTGTTTTCCCAGATATTTCATCATGAATTGTTGAAAACAAAGAATGCATATCAAGTGAACGAGTCCTGCTAAATTTAGCCATTGGATCTTTTTCTCGAGTTCTATAAACTATAAAACCACAATCAGCTTCAGAATCGAGAGCTTGTTGATTACTATTGATCTGATTAGATGATTCATTACCACTCGTAAAAACTGTCGTATCACAACCAGAGGCGATACTGAATTTAGACAAACTGGGTGATAAATGCTGAAGACAACTATTTGGGTTACGATCATTTTTTGATGATTCACTTTTAACACCCAAAGCTTCAAAAAGTGTAATTCTCATATTTGATCCATCTTTAATATGATTACCCGATGACAAATGACTTTTATCAGACATATTCTCCATGTCTGATGAAGTGAGTTGTGATACTTCCTGATGATCATTTAATTCAGCGATACGTCGAAGTTGCATTTGAAGCCAACGATCTTCACGTGAACCACCTTGATCAACGGATGACAGGCTATCAGATAACATAGCTGCTTGGGAACGCCGGCGTCTCTGTTTGTGACTGACAGAACAGCGTTTCTGGTACTTAAACTTGGACCCAGTGAATTGTTTTAACTGCTTTCTTTGAAAACGTGTATCGCTTTCTTCTGAAATATCTTGATTGCAAGCCTTGGGTGGAGATATACTTCTATTTTGTTTGATATTTTGTGATAAACCAGAACAATGATTTGATTCACAATCAAACAACTCAGGCTTTTCAAAAATGTTTGGAGGTTCTACATGATTAGAGTGGGTCTCATGAGTGATAACATTTTTAATATCTTTATCACATTCTAATGCTTTTGAGTTAATATCGAAACTTCCTCCAGTCTCCATTGCACCATCTGTTGACTTAACATCGTTATTGTCTGATACTAAGTCAGGTTCAGGAGATTTTTCAGGGGGAGAAAACTGGTTTGAGTCATTTCTAGTGCAATCAGTGTTTTGACTATTTTTCAAACTGATAGAAGACACGCGTTGCTTTAATCGTTTTTTTTCCATACGCTCTATGCGACGTAACACTTCAGCCATCCATACATCTTCCTTTGATTTCTAAATAATAAGATACAGGATTTTATACTTTTAGACAGCAACTTTGACAAATGAATATATATGAATCTGAAAACATCAACAGTTATAAAAATAGTAAAAGTAATAACATCTGATACAAACTGAAAACCAAATCATAATGATCGTGCAATAAATTCCCGTTTCGGTAATAACTATTCCATTTTACGGATACCAAATAAAGTCAATAAGCATGCTTAATTTATCATTCAGAAAGTAATTTCAATTGTTTGCCTGTTGTATTATTCGTATGAAAGTACACGAAATCGCATAAAAAGATTCCTTATCAAAATTGTCGAACGCGTTGACAACTTCACTTATATTCGAAGTCTGATCATCCCAAATGAGTTGGTGTGACGAAATCTTTTCACAGATTCAGAAAGCTCGTTTGGCTTTTGCCAACTTACATCACCTATGGCGAAGGAGAAATACCCATCTATCAATTAAGAGACGAGTATACTGCACGGTAGTTCACTCTTTTCAACTTTACAGATGCGAAACGTGACCATTAAGAGTAGAAGACACTCGTAAGCCACTAGTATTTGACCACAGATGCCTTAGAAATATTGCTCGCATCTGCTGGGATTACCGCGTAAGTAAAAGTGATGTTAGACACAGGGAATTAGGGAATGATGGTAAATCAGTTGATGAGGTTGTGAATCTTCACCGACTGAGATAGTTGGACCGTGTTACGTATGCCTGAACACCGATTACCACGAAGTGCAATGCTGACTTGTGTTGGGGATGGTTGGGAGAGAGTGGTAGCCAATATAAAACGTGGCATCAGTCTTTGAAGTCACTAACTTCTGCTCTGAGGTATGTTGGTAGATGCAGACGACTTGTTTGAGGTCCGCGTGACTATGGTTGGAGACTCTGGGTGACATGGCACGGAATCGATCACAGTGGCGTCGGTGTATACACTTTGTTTTTTAAACTGTGAGAACAAAATTACTTTATTCCTTTCTTTCTATGAACTAATTCTTTCTTCCTGTATCATATCCTTTCATGAAATTTTCTTTTACTACTAATGAAGTAACTGCTCCTATGAATTTGGTGTTTTTCTTGTTGTGCTGATGAGGTATGGATATCTCGAATGATGCATATATGTGCCTGGTCCTACGTTGTAGCTGACTGACTGACAAGAACAGATATTTTGAAGGTGGTAACGTGGATACAAAGCACTAAAGTGAACTGAATAGCATTCTGCTTACCTAGAAAGCGATGACTCTAGTACAAGCTTTATATGAAATGTAATCATATATTAACTAAAATTATCATTAGAATGCAACTGGTATCTATTTTACACACTATCCCGTAGTAAGCTTCTAAGGTCAATAGATCAAGAGAGTCCATTATGGTACTCAATAGCCTCTGATATTTACACTCAAAATATGAATTATTACTTTTCATACAGGAGCTTGCGTAGAATCGTGTACAGACCAATAAGCATTAACGTGAAGTGACAGGTTTAGTGAGTAAATATAAACTTCCGACTAGATTCAGGATTGTTGGGAAAAACCTTTGAGAATCTTGTTTTTCGATAAGTCAAGTTAGAGAATACATATGTCATGACCAGGCTACATTGTAGTATAGTAGAAACAGTTACGTTAGCTACAATGAAGATGATGATTTAATTTTCGATGACGAAATAAACAGAGAAAGTTGAACCACAACGACTAACCTTGTCTTCTTTTTCTTCAAGTGAAGTACTTCTTTTGCGCGATTTAGAAACATGATCATCGAAGGTGCTCATCTGTGAACGCCGTTTTCCACGGTCAACAAGTGATGATGAATCAGCCTGAGGCAAAAGATAAAGTTTCAACCAATGGACATCCCACAATAAATTAATTAATAAGGGTACTTAGAGACTAAGTGCTTGGTGAAACTTCAAGGACATCACTCCCTGGAGAATTCAACACTGGTTATTGGAAAATGAATAGATTAACTAGACTCTTTTTCTTCCGTTACGTGAAATTTATGAAATAATCACGATATATAATCATCAATCAATATTTTTTTACTACGAAAAATCAGTGATTGTGGATGTTAAGTAAAGATGAAGTGAATATAAAAGTGAAATACTCTCTAGGATATAGTACCTTATCACGAAAGATATGTGATGCCACTGATATAACTGAAAACTAAATGAGTATATCTGAACCTGGATCATATGTTGACTTCAATTTCAACCCTACGAGAGCAGATAAACAAGTTTTATGGAAACAATTCTACTATGAAACGATAGACACCTCCCCAATATACGAAATAAGATTAATTAGTTTCTGTGTTCCATAAAACGAAATGGTTAACATGTGTTACCAATATTTAACCACCGCAGCCTGACGACTGTATGAGTGAATTTTGGTTGCGCTGATAAATAATGTTTGGATTCCAATTTGATGTTTAGTATGCGTGGTCCGGTCTGATGTACTATCTGCGTTTGTGAGACCTTTTAATAAGTGTCCCCACCTCTTGGATTATATTACAGTTAATGACGGATTATGGTCAGTTCTATAAAATAATCCGATTTACACAGAAATTAATTACATTTCGTATTTACAATAATGAGAATAATGTTCAAAACCAAAAGGATGTGATGACTATCCCGATTTTCAGTCTAAAAACTGTCTGTTTACGAAGACGGTATCCAGATTTTATGAACCTTGATTACAAGCGATATTTAATAAACTCTACATCATGTAAAAGTTCTGTGCATATAATAACAGCAAAAAACCTGGGTGAATAGTAATAATCAACTAAAAAAAGGAATAATTTTTAAAAATGTTGTTTAGAAAAAGCACTTACAGATTTGCGCTTAGAAATATGACTTTCATGTATTTCAGCTTTTACACGGTCCAAATCAGGTGATCTAGGAGAATTATTTGAGGTATAAGACTCTTTTGTTCCTTTAGAATTAAGACGGTCCTGACGGGAGTTAGACTGTATATATTTTCGACATACTGATCTATCTGTTAACTTTTCTGGTTGTACTTCATATTCAGGTTCAGTGTCAGCATCTAAATCCTCTCCCAATAACTCATTATTCGACTTACAGTCGATATCCGTGTTATCAGTGACTTCTCCTTGATTTTCTCTGTTGGATGACTTTTGTGGAGAGTCACTTGCTTTAACAGGAACCGATCGTAATCTATCTAAACATTCTATTTCGCAAGAGAAACCACTTCTACTAGGAAAGTTATGCGAATCTCTTTTCTTATCTACATTTACAATACTATCATTAGGTGATGACACTGGATATTGACCACTGTGAGAACAGGAATTACGTTGTGAACGACGTTTTCTTGCAGTTGTCAAGGATTTAGAATTGGACTTCCTAAGGTACACCATTCTGGAAGATAGTCGCTCTGTTCCACGTTTGTTACGCACTCCAAGAGAACTAGAACTTCTTAATCGCCCCCGTCCACGACCTCTTCGATGAACAGCTTTACGAACTCCACATGAAATGCCTGATTTATTTAAGTAACCACGAGTAGTTCGGTTAGATCCTGCTTGATGTGATCCTGAAGTTCGCCTACAAAAGAAAGTTAGAAAAGACTGGACACCTGTTTTGAACAAAAATAAACATCAGCAAGAAACCGCACAATTATATTAGTCATAAGCTTGGAACCACGTGGTTGCGTAAAATACTACTTTGAAGACGCTTTAAAGAGACAAATACACAACAGCCGTAAATCGTTACAACGATGAATATAAGTAATACATAACACCCATGAAGAATGAATAATAAACGAAATAAATTAAATATAAAAAATCTAACATTTTAAAACTTTACATGGTTGTAAAGTAATGTCAGAATTTTAATATAATTGTTTTACCAAACATCCTAATTTAAACTAGTCCTTGTTTTAATTTATGCAAATTATGTCGAAAGCCTGAAGAAACATTGTGACCATAAGAATGGACACAATCCAATTTGTAAACGAGTGATTGATATTTTTTTTAATTTTCGTGTAAGACATTTTTCGGCAAGATCGGCTAAATTTTACATCTACTACACTAAATTTAGGTGCAATAACTTTGTATTCTACTCACTCGTGAAATTTTTATGAAAGTAATACATCAGATGAAGTTATACTAAACAGGTGCCCTTTGACAATCCTGGAAATGAACTTGAGAAAGTCTTATTCGCTTCTAATGAATTAAAAAACAGGTAGAATGAATAAATAATTTGTAGTGAAATGTGAAATTAGTTTTCTAGAATTTATGACAGGATCGAAAGGCTTTTTTCAGTAAACTTCAGACCGGAAGACTAGAACTTAGATTTTTACTGTCAAAAAGTCTTTAGTCAAGGACCACAATTTACACAAACGAACAAGATGTTTGTGAATGAATTTGGAGACTCAGATATAACCACTTTGTAGTTGTACACTTCATTAGACAAATGATTCTAAGTGGTTGTTGAACATATAAAAGGTGGGATAGGATTTGATACTGCAACACTGACTAAGTTGAATGTATAGGCTATTTAGCCATACAGTAATTCTCAATCAGTCATAAGTGATGTAGAGCCTAACACATGTATCGATCGAAGCTACATCAATATAGAGAGATAAAATAAATACTAAAGTGGCATTAACGATAATAAGAAAAACTAGGCATCGAGAACATGATTCAAGAAGAATGAATGGATTCGTAGGATGAATCCTATGATATAGCTTCAAAACTCAGGACGCAGGGAAAGACAGAGTAAATGAATCTGCACCATTAAGACCACTTCAGGGACATGTCACCCAACGTCTTGAACTATCAATCACAATCACATGCATTCCAACCAAACAGTATGTACCTATCCATATCGCCGAATTCGACAGTCATGGACTTCGTAGACATGCTACGTTTTGATTTGGAGACCCCAAGTTTTCTTCTAACTCGCTTTTTCAACCAACATAAGTCCCAGAGGTGGGTGGGTGTGAACAAGAAATGTTTCAACCAACTAAATCGATGAAGATCCATAATCTTGTCAACCGCTCTAACATTATCGCCTATGACCCTAAATCTAATATAACCATTATTTACCCAGTGATCCCAGAACATACAGGGAATGTTCCGAAAGCACTTATGATCAAACATTAGTAACCTAGACATGTTTCCTACTTGTAACGACCAGGTATTACGGACAAAAAGTAAAATGTTGGGTATTGTTCTACCCTTCGTTGACAGACGAATATCTTACCTACGCAACACGCGACCCAAACTTCCAAAAGAGAAGCGGGACTTCTGAATCCGTAATATATAATAATAGACCCCACATCCGGCCTTTAACTCCGCCTGGAGTCCCTCCTGGGGCTACTACCGGTCCCAAGTACGGATAAAGGAGGAGGGGTGGGCATGGGGTTAGCGACTCCATCCCGTAGAAAAATAACTCGCTAAAGAACGCTAACCAGAAAAAATTATTCGAACCTTTTAAACTCTGCCCTGGGAGTCAGAAAATCTTCATTTAGAAAAACTATGACGCCTCATGATGAAAGCCAAGTTCCTTCGGAAGTCACGAGGGCGATGCCTCTTCTGACAACCAGAGCAACCATTTATTTAGGTACATGAAATGCTCGTACAATGTGGAAGACCGCGAGTCTTTCAAATCGCTGCAGAAATGAATAGATACAAGCTGGAGGTTTTTGGGTTCAGTGAAACACATTGGACGCAAGTCGGACAACAACGACTAGCTTCAGGGGAGCTTCTGCTATACTACGGCCATGATGAAGAAAATGCCCCACATACTCAAGGAGTTGCATTAATGCTATCCAAACAAACACAAAATGCACTTACAAGATGGGGATCTCATGGACCAAGGATCATCAAAGCCTCCTTCAAAACAAAGAAAGAGGGCATTTCAATGAACATCATTCAATGCTATGCGCCTACTAACGACCACAATGAAGACGCTAAAGATCAATTCCATAATAGGCTGCAGTCAATCGTCGAGAAGTGCCCAACAAAGGACCTGACCATTCTGATGGGAGATTTAAATGCCAAGGTTGGAATAGACAACACCGGATATGAAGACATCATGGGACGACACGGACTGGGAGAAAGGAACGAAAATGGTGAGATTTGCAAACCTATGTACCTTCAATAAACTGGTCATAGGCGGAACTATATTCCCACATAAGCGCTTTCACATGGACTTCACGCAAAACCAAATCGACCATATCTGCATCAACAAAAAGTTCAGGAGGACGATGGAAGACGTGAGAACCAAGAGAGGAGCTGATAGATATAGCATCAGACCATTACTTGCTGGTCGCCAAGATGAAATTGAAACTCAAGAAAAGGCTGCAAAAGAAGGAAACATGAGACAACTGTATGACATAACAAAGAAACTGTCTGGAAATCGCCGCAAACCGGAACGGTCAGTGAAAAGCAAGGAAGGCGAGGTAGTCACCAACATTGAAGAACAACGAAACAGGTGGGTAGAACACTTCAAAGAACTCTTGAATCGACCAGCCCCACTGAACCCACCCAATATCGAAGCAGCATCCACGGACCTCCCAATCAATGTTGGCTCACTAACAATTGAAGAAATAAGCATGGCCACCAAACAAATCAAGAGTGGCAAAGCAGTAGGACCAGACAACATTCCAGCAGAGGCACTGAAAGCAAATGTAGCGGCAACTGCAAGGACACTCCATATTCTCTTCAATAAGATTTGGGATGAGGAACAAGTACCAACAGACTGGAAAGGACTGCTGATCAAAATACTGAAGAAAGACGATCTCAGCAACTGTGATAACTACAGAGGCATCACACTTCTCTCAATACCGGGAAAAGTCTTCAACAGGGTATTGTTAAACAAGATGAAGGACTGCGTAGACGCCCAACTTCGAGACCAACAGGCAGGATTCCGTAAGGATAGATCGTGTACAGATCAAATCGCAAATCTACGGATCACTGTGGAACAATCAATTGAAAGGAATTTATCACTCTACATCAACTTCATCGACTACGAAAAAGCATTTGATAGCGTGGACAGAACAACACTATGGAAGCTTCTTCGATACTACGGCGTGCCTCAGAAGATAGTCAATATCATACGGAATTCCTATAATGGATTAAACTGCGAAATTGTGCATGTAGAACAATTGACAGACTCGTTCGAAATAAAGACCGGTGTCAGGCAAGTTTGCTTACTCTCACCCTTTCTATTTCTCCTGAAGATCGACAGGATCATGAAGACACCAACATCTGAAGGGAAACACGGGATACAGTGGACATCTAGGATGCAATTGGACGATCTAGACTTTGCAGATGATCTGGCCCTCCTATCGCAATCGCAACAACAAATGAAGGAGAAAACGACCAGTGTAGCAGCAGCCTCAGCAGCAGTAGGTTTCAGTATACACAAAGGGAAAAGCAGGATTCTCCGATACAACACAGCATGTACCAATCCAGTCACAATTGACGAAAAAGATTTGGAAGATGTAAAACCTTTACATATTTGTGCAGCATCATTGATAAAAGTGGTGGGTCTGATGCAGATGTGAAAGCGCGGATCGGTAAAGCAAGATCAGCATACTTACAACTGAAGAACATCTGGAACTCAAAGCAACTGTCAACCAACACCAAGGTCGGAATTTTTAATACAAATGTCAAGACAGTTCTACTGTATGGGGCGGAAACCTGGAGAACTACGAAAGCAGTCATCCAGAAGATACAGGTGTTTATTAACAGTTGTCTACGCAAAATACTTCGGATCCGTTGGCCGGATACTATTAGCAACAACCAACTGTGGGAAAGAACAAACCAGATCCCAGTTGAGGAAGAAATTAGGAAGAAGCGCTGGAAGTGGATAGGACACACATTGAGGAAAGCACACAACTGAGTCACAAGACAAGCTCTCACATGGAATCCTGAAGGCCAAAGGAGGAGAGGAAGACTAAAGAACACATTACACTGCAAAATGGAGATAGACATGAGAAAAATGAACAAGAATTGGATGGAATTAGAAAAGAAGGCCCAGGATAGGGTGAGTTGGAGAATGCTGGTTGGTGGCCTATGCTCCGTTGAAAGTAACAGGTGTAAGTAAGTAAGTAAGAAGTAAGTAAGTAAGTAAGTAAGTAAGTAAGTAAGTAAGTAAGTAAGTAAGTAAGTAAGTAAGTAAGTAAGTAAGTAAGTAAGTAAGTAAGTAAGTAAGTAAGTAAGTAAGTAAGTAAGTAAGTAAGTAAGTAAGTAAGTAAGTAAGTAAGTAAGTAAGTAAGTAAGTAAGTAAGTAAGTAAGTAAGTAAGTAAGTAAGTAAGTAAGTAAGTAAGTAAGTAAGTAAGTAAGTAAGTAAGTAAGTAAGTAAGTAAGTAAGTAAGTAAGTAAGTAAGTAAGTAAGTAAGTAAGTAAGTAAGTAAGTAAGTAAGTAAGTAAGTAAGTAAGTAAGTAAGTAAGTAAGTAAGTAAGTAAGTAAGTAAGTAAGTAAGTAAGTAAGTAAGTAAGTAAGTAAGTAAGTAAGTAAGTAAGTAAGTAAGTAAGTAAGTAAGTAAGTAAGTAAGTAAGTAAGTAAGTAAGTAAGTAAGTAAGTAAGTAAGTAAGTAAGTAAGTAAGTAAGTAAGTAAGTAAGTAAGTAAGTAAGTAAGTAAGTAAGTAAGTAAGTAAGTAAGTAAGTAAGTAAGTAAGTAAGTAAGTAAGTAAGTAAGTAAGTAAGTAAGTAAGTAAGTAAGTAAGTAAGTAAGTAAGTAAGTAAGTAAGTAAGTAAGTAAGTAAGTAAGTAAGTAAGTAAGTAAGTAAGTAAGTAAGTAAGTAAGTAAGTAAGTAAGTAAGTAAGTAAGTAAGTAACATCTGGCCTTTAAACACATTAAGAGTACCCAGATAATTGACTCCGTATTCTTATTACTCAAAATCACTAACTACACATTTTGGTACTTTGAGATAAAGGACATACCTTTTATATATTACCTATAAATAATTATGTCTAGAAATAAGCATAAACTTGCTCTTTTGGGACTTTTGAAACTTAATATTAGCATGTCAGTTAGTCTGAAACATTTAAAATTATGAACAATTTTTAACCTCTAGAAACATTTATTTTATTTATTTCAACACATAGATAATGGTACAAAGAGGCACCAAATACACATGCGCCACACAAATCTCATTCGATATGTGTGAGGGCTGTGATACTGCCCGGGTGCCCAAACCGAAGCAGGTGGTTTTCTTAGGGGGCCACACCCCGAGCCTTCGACCTGAAGGTCTGATCCACAAGGCAGTGGAGCATCGTAAGGAGATGCAGTCCCATGGAAGCCGGTGACCAACAATTGGTTCATTCGCCATTTGTTCCCGCAGGATACTGGAGCCCATGTGCACCATTGGTTTGGAATCCGGTTAAAGCGCCGGACATTCGCTTTTCGTCCTCTCATTTTCGTAATCAACACCCCCGCCACGAGAAGGCAGTGAGTAGGACTTCCCTGGCAGAGGCTATATACGCGAGGCCGTGTGAGAGCATTTCGAGAGGGAGAGCGGACTCTCCCCACTCTCGGCCGTACCAGGGCATTTGGGGTATGAACAAATGTGAGGTAATTTACTGAAAATGAAACCATTGTTGGAAAGATTCAGAAAACTCGAAAAAGGAGCCAAGAAAGGCTCTGAAAACATTGAGAAGCATCTTATCCAATCAGCGTTCACTAGAAGTTTTGCCAGAAACATTTAGAAAATGAAGTCACGTGTTTAGTTTCTGATTGGGTGATTACTTATGCTGCCGCTATGTTTAGTAGCATTCCAGAACTTTTCGGAAACCCAAAGACATCTAAAAATACGATAAAAACCGTAGATTTTCTGTACATAAACGAACCTTCGGAGTAAAGCATTTTCTTACATATTTCGCGCCTTTTCTCTCGTGTTCAAGTCACTGTGAATATCTAGCCTGGGAGTTACTAGAAGAGCTTAGGAACCAAATCTAGAGTTCAATTAGCAAGGCTTATCACATGTAGACTGAAGAAATTTAGCTCCTTGTCACGAAAACAAAGGACATGAAAGTCACGATGAACTTAAAGATATAAAATATTCTTACTCATTCGAAATAGGACTTGGAAGGTAACGGCCTGTTCGACTAATGGAGAAGTTTCTCACAGTTGTATTTACGGGAGATTTAGGACACAAAACTGACTGTTCATCGGAAGGATCCTTGTCATCGTAATGGGACTGGGAGTTTTGCAACAGACTAAGACCTCGAGAATGACCGTTGACCCCGTATGAGCGGGGTGAATGTGGTAATTTGCGAGTGCACACCAACGAATGGCGAGTCGAACTTCGCAAAGGGTTGTTCAACTGATTCATTCTTTGGAACCAACGGGTAATCGGACAGCCTTTAAGAATGCATGCACACTTAACAAGATATCGACAGGCTGTATAGTCAAAATCAAAAGGTAGAGTTATCTCGGATGACTTTGGAATAACCCGTGATGCGACGACGACGAGACGAAGATGAGGAACGGGTTCATTATGTTGATCATTTGAAAAGGAAATGCAGTGGCGGACCTAAAAGGAAAATAAAAAAACCCGTTTTAAAGTCATTTGGGGACGAGTGATAGCATAAGAAAAATGGACAGCTATTATTCGTACTATGTAGGAATTTGAAATACTTGAAATAGCAGTATTATAGGAAGTATAGGTCAGTCATGGACAACGTGAAAACTGATACGAATCCGTACTTTTCTAAGTTGGCAATACTTACGTCAACACAGGGAAGGATAATATTACCAAAATGAAAATCTGAGGGATGATTAAAATAAAATAGAAAACCAAACGTGAGGAGTGACGAGTATGACTATACCAAGGATCTAGGTTAGAGTTTTTATCCACTAATGAGCCAAGGGTAAGCTGATGATGTCCTTATGGATTGATTTCATGACCTAACGTTTACATAAATGGTAGTGTTAATCCTTCAGAATTTCCAGTGAACCATTTTACTAGTGAGTAGTAAACGTTCTTGGAATACTGCTGTTCCTTTTTAAGTGGTTCGTGGAAACTATTAATTGGATCTTTAGAATGAATCAGCCACTAAATTGAGGTGTGTAGGCTCGTTCTTAAATAGTGTCGAACTTTTGTTACATAACCTTGACTTTTTAGATAGCCTGTGCGAAAACGACTAATTTTCGATGTTTTTATGAAAACGAATCTTATCAGTTTCTTTAGGACATAAATCATCGATTCTATAACTGGATAATTACAATTTTAATCAGAACTAGAGTAAAGCTCAACTTTATCAATAAAACAAATTACCTCAGAGTTAGGCGTACATGACCGACGGATAAAGCGCGCTTCATTGCCATACTTGCGAGCATCAACACAGAGAGGTAACTTCGGCAAGGATTTGTAAAACAGTACAAACGGATTGTAACTAAAAGGAAATAACTAAAAAAAAGATCAGTTACTTACTGTTTACGATAGTCGTACATATCGTTGTATTCACTGAGTAACAAACAATTACCACGGTACTCAATAATCGGCGTACGAGGACAAATGTCTTCATTTGCTATTAGGCCCTGAAAAATGGATTTGAATTTGAACTCAGGTATTAGAAATACTGAAAGATTTATCTTAACTGACAAATTTTAGGTAACAGATTTACACGAAATATCTTACCCTGCGGTTAAAGTCGAAACTAACAACCTGATAACGGAATAAACGCTCAAGATTAGAGGGAATTTCTTCGTTAAGAATACCATCTATTTCGCCACAATCTGCTCCCATGCCAGTAAACAGAGGAAACAATAAACTGAGTTTTTTGCAAACACGACTTGAAAGATGTAGAGTTTGGGCTTCTTCATAAATATCTGATGGAGGAGATAGTACAGAGTCAGATGCTGGACAAGGAGGGGAGGTATGGCACACTTCATTTACCTGGGTAAATGTATTTTGTACCTTATTATTTGGGCAATCTGTAATTAAACGATGTACAATGCTGCTATGACGAATTTGCACTTTATCGGACACAGGGATTGGATTACTTCCTTGTGTTTGGCATACGTTTAATGGACCCTCCACGAAGCAGCCCTTTAAATCAGTGTTATAAGATGTTCGCATGTTTGACAAGTCATCATAGTCATCCAAAACCGGAGGTGAGCTTGAAAAGCCCTCAATGCCTGCGTTTGCAGAGGATGATCCACCAGTGACTACAAGAAAAAAATCCAAAAAAACATATGATAGAGAAAACAAGTTTCGATAATAAGCTTTGAAAACAGTAACTTCATACAAAATTAGATACATATTATGGTGCTATGTCAACCACTTCATTGAAAAATTAGAAAAATTATGAGGCTGGGAATGGATATAATATCTGAAGCTGATGTGTGAACGAATACTTAGATATTGGTTGTCACCATCCAACTACATAACACTGAAAGATCCAACCTCCACAGAAAATTTGAATATAGTCTATGGTGAGTAGTGAACCAACATTCGTAGGATGTGGTACAATTACATAATTTTAAGAAAACATAGGTAGAAAATAAAGTCCCTCAATCAGTTATAATCAACAGTCACAAATGTCTTCCGGCCCAAACGTCCTTACCAAATCGACACAGGAAGATAAAAAATAACAAGGCAAATAGCCAAAAAATAGTCGTATCAATGATAGTTAAAAAGATTAAATGCTGGAGAACTCTTCAAAAGTATAAATCTCAAGAATAAAGTCTGAAATAATAGATAAACTCAGGATTTAAAGGAAGATAAAACGAAATAAGAAGATAGCTAAAGCCATTTTCAGAGATATTTTACCTATAAAAAGCTAATTCAGTAACTAAGGCAAGTTTTCGTTCACATTGTTGGGTTTTGAGAACACATGTTTACTTCTATGTTGCATACCAAAAGCTTGCAACTTTCAATTGCAAATCCATCTTTCATTCTCGAATCATATTTCATTTGACGAATTTTCCCTACTACCACTGACACTACTCCCATAGCATTACCTCTGATAACTTTTCGGTGTTGATGTGATGTGGTAACCCTAACCGATGCACATATACCAGGTTACACGTTGCTTACAATTGATTGACTGAAAGATGAATTATCTTACTATATTCCAAGGTTTATAACATTTTTAGTTTCTTTTAAAAGCAACGAAATTCTCTAAAAGATAAACTTGTGGTGGGCAACAGATTGCTTTTAATCAAATGCAACTTTTTATCAAACATACTGAATTTCACTCTATAAAGGTCTCACAGTTTCTTGCATACAAGTTATGTTTCGAGGCAAATGATTGCCAACGCTTCTTAAGTCGCAATCATAGCTCCACATAGCTATACAGGAGATACATTACTTTTGGTACTGCTGGGTTCTTTGAGCTTGTTAGTCTAATTGTGGACTCTTAATTGACGTCTTGGACATTACCAGGGTTTACGTAGAAGTATGACAGAAGCAAGCACCGACGATGCGCAGGACTGTAATGAGAGCTCTGTAGTTAAACCAACTCAGAGTATCCAAAGACATCCAAGCTGAGAACCTCCTACATTACAAGATATGCTAATAAATTTTATCACCACCCAATAAAAGTGATAAGTTGTACAAATCATTCGATAACAGGTGTCCGTTTTGTATTTAGGATTAGTTCATAAACAAGTTTTGCTTTCAGAAATGAAAACGCGAGGTTTACCACCTATTTAAGTTACTACACTTTAGCAACACAAAAAAACTAATAAAGATGGAAATTCACAATAAACTAAAAAGCAGTACATGCACTGTCAAGGGAAAAAAATAAATAAATAGTGTTCAAAAGGTCATCAGAGGAATTTTGTATAATTCGATTGGATTACGAACCTTAGCTAACCTATTCTAGGCTTTTCCAGTGACTGATAAACTCAATATTATTAACCCATTTACCAAATACAGATCCACGTGGTTAGCCTCGAGTGACACTCTAAGTGTGAAGGTTATTTGTACCACTTGGTTTCCAAACTGAAGTAGTTGAAGTTCGAACCTTAGATCTAGTGGTTGAAAGTTGAACACCCTAACTGATGACTAAGCATCCCAGTACCGGATTGCTCGATGGAGGCGAAATTTATACCTAGCGACTCAGTCGTTTGCCTTTTTACTGCAGTATTATATGAACAGCAAAGCGCTCCTACTTTTAAAGATCTCGTGACAATCCAAAGTTTCTCGACAGCAGTCTTCAAAAATATTTTCGTGAAGTTGGGACTCAAATTTGATACAAATGTATTTATTCAAGGAGCTCATGGAGCAGCAAAAGCAGACAGTTGTATCCATGAAATTTCATCATTCTGCTAACCAAAACAACACTAAAGGGTATTACGCCTTGTAAATTGATTGCATGGTTGAATTTTGGAAAATACTGAGAATTAGACATTAGAATCACATGAAAGCCTACTTAACTGATATTATTGTTAAGCTAAAAAATAGTACAAATAGAGTACATTCTTACGTGTTAGCAGATCTTGTTTTCTTTTAGAGCTTCTTACAGATCGTCCACATGGACCATAGTTTGGAGGGCGGGCTACAACAGAGCCATTTTCTGAAATCACACTAGAAACTAGACTGAACTCACCACACTGAACACCAGACATCCCTTGGCTTGCTGGGATGCAAACGTGAACTTGTCGATGAGTCACACCTCCGAGCGTATTTGTTAAGAAAACACGTCCTGAAGATGTATTTGTCCCTAAAGGAGCACGAGAAATCCGGATGTTAGGAGTTGTGGTTGATCCAACACTGTTAAATGCAGTCAAATGAGGTCGCTGAGTAGCAACAGCTTTTGACTGTGTCTGGCATATTTCGCAAACATATAATGTTGACAAGTGGTTTTTACCAGCAGATGAAATACACTCACTGTGATGCCAAATTCTGAAAAGTGGTTAGATTTTGGTATTTATGCCGAAAATATTTTACCTGCACTGATTACACTGAACGAGGTAGCCATCCAAATTCGTGTTTCCACAAACGCAACGAACCGAATCCATACCATCAGTAGAAACTTGACGTGAAGCAGTTGTAGAAATTTGAAGACCAGGCAAACCAGTCCGTAAGATAACATGTGGTGTGAGGGATGAACTAACTCGATGAATCTGTAGGGGAGGATTTACATTCCCACCGGTAGTTGAGATCAATATTGTTCGACTAGGCAAGGAAGAAACATGACTTGTCGTTGTGACCAGAGATTGTCCGTTACTGGGAGAATTTAGTTCTGAGTTGCACACGACAGAACGTCTAGTTGATGAACACGTGTTTAGTTCAACCAAACCCACAGACTTAGTTGTTGAGACCGTGGAACTTTCTTCAAGAATCCAGTTGGTTTGCAGTGTAGACTGGAGTGTCCTGGACGTCTTTTCTCCTGAATCCTGTGGATTCTCATCCTTTGCTAATGCTAACTTTGCTAAAAGAGACAAACGATCATCGGGTTCAACAGATCTATTATGATCTGGATTTGGTTCGTAGGATGCATAATTGTGATCCTGAAACGAAGTTGAGTGAATAGCAGAAACTCACGTTATAAGGAAGTCCCCAACAACCTTCCGACTCACCGTAAGTTACAGCATGAAAAGGATATTCGTCAGGGTCAGATTCACTACTAAAACTTGACATGAAGAAATAAACCTTACTCTTGATATGAGAAACAAACTCGTTTGTTCAATCTCTGCGTGTCGCATACAGATATCTCAGAACCGTCGTGACCTATTGTCACTGTTTGACCAATATCAGGGGCTTTGCTCGAGTAGTCGGTGGTTTCTACTGGAGAGTCTGGAGTATCTTCAATTATTGCATCCGACTCGGAAGAATCATTGAGCGAGCTACTCGGTCGACTTATAGAAAAGTAGTTTAGGCTGTTGATTTGACGATGAGGATGGATAAGAGCATCCATCAGATTTACATGTGACACTAAACCTGAAACAACAGAAATTTTTCGCATTTATAGTGATGCGGCAGATCATGTTTGTATACACAAGTTTCATTGGTACTAATAAACAACCATGATAACAGATTTATTTTGAATAAATCTCCTTGAGTTATCAAGGATTACCATTATCTCAACGTAGGAAATACAGGTCAGACGACCGAAACTAATGCGAAAAGAAACATGTGTTGTTTTAACTAGAAAATATATCACAACTAAATGGAGCAATCCAAACAAGATTTACACTCATCGCAGTGGATACTGATTAACCTAATGCTAAGAGACAACAAATGTAATTCGGAACATCTTATGCATTTTGGATTCATCAAGAAAGTTATATGGACTGATCATAACTAATCAACTTTAATAAAATAACAACGAACGTTTATATCTTCATTACATAACAAAGAGATCAAGTCAGGCTACTGAGCTTAGAAAAACAAAAATATTTACAATGGATTCATTTCTAGAGACAAGAATGACTCACCTATCATTCCTTATCATCCAAAACCATCCATAACGCCATCCCAAACAAAGGGACCCATACGATCAATCCTGTTGCCAAGTCTGCTTTAGCAACGATTCAAACAACGTATGCAAAATTTTGAATGTTTCAAATTGCAATACAGCAGGCCTGTGAGGATTTCAGCTTGAAGATATGATGAATGAAACAGCCACAATTTTAATTGATGGCTAAGATGTACTGCGGTACTTGCCTTATGGAAAAACAATGAAACTTGTATGATATGGTGTGGCCAGTAAAACTAATGAGGTAACACTTAATGTCAAAGACTTACAGGACTATTTATTTTGTGTAGCATTTTTTAAACCGAAAGGCATGAGCAAAGATTCATAGAGTCCGAACGGAGAGATGACAACAGTTTTAGAAATGTCATTTACAGTCACAGGTATTGGATTATGCTCTCTAACCAAATCGATTTTCGAGAAAACATTTGTGCCTTTCAAAGTTGCTGTCAGATCATGGGTGTGTGGCAGGGAGTAACGATCGATGGTGATTTTCACATTAAGTATCCAATAATTACCAATCGGACTCCAGTCATTGCGGTCCGTTTTGGAGACCATGTGAAAAGGTGATGTGTATGAGCCTTTCGATGGCCGGATAATTCCCAAGTCTATTGTATCCTCTAATTCGCTCTAGGCTAAACTTAGCTTTTTAGCAGCTTGTCAGAGCGTTTCTAACAATACAAGTGAGCCTGTGGTTCACTAATTCTAAGTTCTTTAAACAAATAATTTAGCTGAAATCATTAGTCAATTGAAGCTAGACCACCGTTTCGTTCTAATGTGGGACTCCTCAGCAACACGGTCCAGCCTCTCACGAGATTCAAACCCAGGACCTATCAGTCCCGCACGCGAGCGCTTAACCATTAGACCACTAGCCGGCATCCAGAAGTGTTAATGTCTAACTTCAACCGATCCATGAAGTTGCGCCACCGTACACTGTTGTCTTCAGTGAGTTGATATCTCACAACAGACCTGGTTAAATTCCACTGGTAACGGCTTCTCAATGGAACTCCAGTGCTCACCCAGTGTACAAAAGTACTTCCACCATACTCACTCGAACCATTGTCACCTTGGGTGTTGGGTCGCAAACATGACCAATAGACTGTGTCCGACCATGGTGAGCCTAACTGCAATATTATCTGCATTAGTCAGTTACTAGCGATATCTATCACAGCAAGGACATAGACGTTAGTATGGTAGAAAATAACCCGGCTTCTAAGTGACTTTAGGGAATATAACCTCCTTACTAAAACGTCCGTGTATACATCAAGCTAATCAAATGTTTATTGTGTGAGACTCCGAATAACTATGAGGAACATATTTGATACAAGGACTCAACACAGTATTTTTATTATTTTTCATTCTGCGTTCTGATTACTTGTGACTAGTGGACATGCCCGCAGTTATGATCCAAATCACAAAGGGTGGTCATCACAGGCTCACGATCATGCATTCAATCCAGCTAGCTCAGGAATCCAACTTTTGGCTGGCTCACGTTGACATTTTTTTCAAGCAACGTTCTGTTTTAACGTATATACATACCCGAAATGTTTAGACATATTGTTTTACTTACGGATTACTGGAACGTTCTGCAGGCTAAACATGTTTGGAGTCGAACATTTATTGCTTGTAATTGCAAATTTCCTATTTGTATCTAATTATTTTATAAAAACGGTGGAGCGATTCTTCATGTGTGATTTATTTACTTATTTAAAAAGTAGATTCCTCTCTACTCCTGACTCGGGGATGGCTCAAGATGCAAGTGAGTAATAACCTGATAGCCAAACATAGCATTAGAAAATCACACCCCATGAACATTGTGTTAGCTAGCTCGCTCGCGGCAGTTATTTGGCCATTTTTGTTTCATTCTGTTATCAGCTATGTGGTCATTAGCTTTGAATCCTAAGCAGAGGACACGTACAATAATTCATGTAGGACAATTTGTAGTAAGAAGGTAAGTGCTACCGAGTTAGTGATTCTCCATTAGCCTGCCAAAAACGGACTGACATACTTTGGATCAATAAATTGATCAATCCTAAATTCCTTAGAAAGTCGGTTCTAGGAAGATGTTGGGTAGTTAACAGTTGGCCAAAAACATCTTGATAATGTCAGCAAATTATGGCACAATTATTTATACACTTCCCTATTCTCTATGTAACCTCTTGCTTTTAACACTAAATATATTTTCTTCCTGGCCCAAATGGGTCCATCGAAAGACCATAAACGCAACAGCTGACTGTCACGACAGGGCGAGTCAGTAAGGGTAGTGGTGTGGCTTCTACGTAAGATCTTACAGATAAGTCAGCCACCTCATCGTAAGTCCACGATTTTCTCTCATTTATTTAGAACTTCATTTAAGAATAATCGGTCACTTGAAAAATCAGCATCCGTCAAAACTGCATCAAACTTTCGATCACGGTTTGACTTACTCAACATATTTTCCTCAGGTTTTTAAAAATTTCGTCAGAAATATGTGGGTCGTTAAGACAAACTATATCTGGTACAATAACATGAAAAACTCAATAGGTTGAATGAATAGAAGCTTTAGTCTAACAATCACTCTGAGTTTCATTCAATTATGGGCTGTGTATGAGTCTATACTGCTTTTTGAAGTCGTGGATAAAGATAGATGATCATTAGAAACACCAAACTTAATACGATAAGAATCACAAATTTTGTCACTAGTTTCTGCGAAATGAACTGTATTAATAAACACTGACTGAATGTGCCCAATCTCACCGCATTTAAAGCATCTGGGACTATGAAATACACATGGACTACATGGGTGAAACGTGCCACAGAACAAGCATTTACCGTAATTGTGCTCATCTTCGCCACCTATTTCACAACTCGATGAATCGTTATCTGAGTCGTTTTCATTACGCACTGAACTGAGACGACGTAGTAAACTATTGGAACTCCTGATAACCTGGCGAAATAGGATTTTCTGATAAAGCCAGAATTTTTAATAAGCTGTATGCTTCCTTTCCGATTAATGTAACGGAATGAGCCACAATAGTAACATCCTCAAAATCATCCCTGGTGAAAGCCCAGATTTCGAACAATTCCATATAATCCTCAAAAGCATCAAAATCTGAATGTATGTCAAACTGTTTCATCGCAGACTCCATCGCGATGCCAATTTGATAATTAGGAGTATTTGAACAATCCTACGAACTAGAAATCCCAGAAATAACACAATTTAACCAGGAAGTATTAGGTGAGTAAAAACGAACGTATTGTGTTTGGCATTCAAAATCTGGTATCCATTATTTACAAAGGAATCATTGGTTCATACCAACACCACTAGCACACAGTTCAAAAAGAGTGGTAGTTGCTGTCTTAGAAATATTTACTTCAACTACTGGCATATTTGTGATATTTTCTAAATCAGTTTTGGTCATACGCTTTAGGCTGCTCGTGAAATTTCGAATGTGTGGTACTGGGTACCTATTTGGAAAAGTCTGACAATCGGTGGTCTTGTAGTAATATCGGTTCCTAGCCACATGATTTTTGAAGCCGAGCATACAGTCACTGAGAAGACTTACATGCAACATGTAACACTTCGAGAAGGTCAAAAGTGGTGAACGCAGGAACAGCTGCTCGGCATGGCATGGCTCAGCCTTGCAAGGATGGTTATCCTGTATGACCTATCCCCATTCACATCAAAATATGTTATTTCTTCCCCGGCCCAGATGCGGTCTTCCGAATTCCTGAACATCATATTGATAATTGTCGCGATATGGTAGGTGAGAACAGAGAATGATGTGACTTCCACATAAAGTCTAATGGATCACATATTCACATAATGACAAATCTACGGTTTGGGGATTAGGTCCACTGTTATAAAAGCGGAGATAAATGCACTAATATCAAACTAGACAATAATTCTAGTCTTTTGATCTCCACATGGTTGTAGTTTACTCTTATTTTTCTTTGGAAACGTGTGTAGACGGAATGCCTAGTGGTCACCTGATTGATGACTGACACCCAACTACACAATGTACTTGAAGTCGGCTTCAACGATTTTAAGTGCGTCGGAGGCCACTCTTCTGGGAGAAACCTTAGTTTTATTTGTATGAAGTGCAAAAAGCACGATGTTTGGAGAAATGACGGCGTTCTTATCTATTGTGTAATTCCAGGATTCCTTAATGGCCAAACGAGGTCACGTGGTAAACACTTGAGAAATTTTAATCTCTCCAAAACGTTTACCTCAATTATTGTCGGATCTAAGTCTGTTACAGAGAACATTGCGGAATTATCTCTTCGACCTCAAGCCTGGTGTCAAAGCCTATTTGCCAGATTCAGGAATTGTAGTTTTATTGGCAGCTTAAAATTGGCTCAAATTTTAATTTAAGTCACAAGAATTTTGCCAAGTGAGGCACTCGTGTCCGCTTTAAAATTCACACCAAATTTTTTATTGCTAGCATAAAGACAAGGGAATGTTTAAACGACTCTCCTCACTTGTCGAGGCCTATGAACGGGTAATTCGTTCCCTACATTCTTGGGATTCCAGTTAGTCTAGTCGCATGTTTTACCGCACCATGCTAATTCGGTGACAAACCTCTAGTAGTAATGACAGAACTATCCACGTTCGATGAACTGTTTTGACCTACTCTTCGATCTTACCCTTTGTCATTGCGGCAAATTGCCTCGTTTTCTGCCAGCTGCTTGCATCTGAGCGATAGTCTCTGTGAGACTTCTGACACTTGCGACAAGTTCTAATATGACCGCGTCTCTTGATGGTCCCGCTCTTTGCGTGTGTTGTGTCGTAAGTAATCCGGCCTGCTTCTATATGCCTAACATTCTAAGAAAGGCAAAAATTTGCCCGTGTTTTATTCTGTATGTATCTTGAGAGAACGTCATGCATCTTTATTTTAAGAATGCTCCACCCACGATATTACCACCAACTAGGGCTAGTCCGGGTTGGCATTACAATCAACTTAAATGTAAGATCAACCTGTATGACTACTAATAACTGATTTTATGCACATCAGATAATGGAGCTGATTTACCAATGTTCCACAAATTGTCTGCAGCTCTCTGTTCAAATTT